TGGGCAACAGGGCAAGTCCCTGTCTCTATTAAAAACAAAACAAAACAAGGCCGGCATGGTGGCTCATACGTGTAATTCCAACGCTTTGGGAGGCTGAGGCAAGTGGATCACTTGAGGCCAGGAGTTTGACACCAGCCTGGCCAACATGGTGAAACCCTGTCTCTACTAAAAGTGCAGGGTATTAGTCAGGCGTGGTGGCGTGCACCTGTAATCCCAGCTACTGGGAAGGCTGAGGCATGAGAATTGCATGAACCTGGGAGATGGAGGTTTCAGTGAGCCGAGATAGCGCCACTGCACTGCAGCCTGGGCGACAGAGCAAGACTATTTCAAAACAAAAACAAAAACAAAAACCTCCCAAAAAAGTCAATAACAAATGGGAATTGTTTTACAGGTGGTTTTTCTTCATGTTTTTCTCTCCTTGCCAGTTTGTCCATAAGGAATACGCCTAGTTTATTTCTGTATTCGGTTTACAGGTGAAGACACTCCTTAGTTCACTGCGACTTAATTCATAGGTAACTGCATGCAAAGACCTGAGTCTTGTGACTAGTTTTATGACTGTTCTGTAACTGTTCCATTTAAATTTCCCCTTCAGGGCCGGGTGCGGTGGCTCACGCCTGTAATCCCAGCACTTTGGGAGGCCGAGGCGGGTGGATCACGAGGTCAAGAGATCGAGACCATCCTGGTCAACATGGTGAAACCCCGTCTCTACTAAAAATACAAAAAATTAGCTGGGCATGGTGGTGCGTGCCTGTAGTCCCAGCTACTCAGGAGGCTGAGGCAGGAGAAATGCCTGAACCCAGGAGGCGGAGGTTGTGGTGAGCCGAGATCGCACCATTGCACTCCAGCCTGGGTAACAAGAGTAAAATTCCTTCTCAAAAAAAAAAAAAAAAAAAAAAAAAAATTTCCCCTTCATTCCTAATCTCACTCCCAGTACCAGATTCCAAGAGCAGCTAGTAGGTTACAGGGTGTGTAACAATGACACTAACTCTCCCTCACACTGACCAAGTGTTTCCTATGTGCTAGCACTGCTCTAGGGCTTGAGATTTACCAGCTAGATTAGGCTTACAACAATTCTTTGACATGGATTCTGACACTGTGTACATTTTACTGATGAGAAAACTGAGAGACCAAGTTAAGTCACCTGCTCCAGGTCATGCAGCTAGTTAAGTGACGGAGCCAGCGTCTGAACCCAGGCAGCTCAATTCTAGCATCAGAATCCTTATTCCTGTGCTCCATACACATACACGATTTCCCTAATACCGTCCAGATGTTCTTTGGCATGCGCCTTACCAGTTTATAACCTCACCTGAGTGCATGAGGGTTCCAGTTTCCCCATACCATAACCGGTATTACCTGGCTATTTTTCATCAATCTGATAGCTAAACATGACAGCTCTCAGCTTGCACTTCTCTCTGCTAGTGAGGTTGAGCATTTTTTTCATGGTTTAGACTTCTCTCTATAAATTGTCTATGCATGTCCTTTAGCCCAGTTTTCTACTGAATATATTTAGCAAAAATGTCCTGTATCTTCTTGACATTAATCTTTTGCTCTTATAAACTCCAAAATTTTTCTTCCAAATTTTCACCAGTCTGTTAACTTTGTGTTGTCGATTGAACAGAAACTCTGTTTTTTTTTGTATTTATGGAAGGGCTTTGAGGGATTTAAGTTCTTTCCTGTTCAGGTTCACGAAGATTTCCTTTTGCCGTCTTTGTAGCTTTAACAATCCAATCAGGTCTTTACACTCCATAGCCTCACCACATACTTATTTATTAAGCATTTTCTTACATGTATTTATTGGCAATCTTCTTCAGAGAAATGTGTATTCAAGTCCTTTGCCCATTTCTGAATTATGTTGCTGAGTTTCAGTTCTTGATTCATTCTGGACATTAATCCCTTATCAGATAGATAATTTGCATATACTTTCTCCCATTCTGTCAGTTGCCTTCTGTTTATATTGTCTTTTGACACACATCTTAAATTTCCATTAAGTCCAATTTGTTTTTCCCTTTGTTGCCTGTGCCGTTAGTGTCATATCTGTGAAATCACTGCCAAATTCAACGATGTGAAGCTTTTGCCCTATGTTATCTTCAGTAAGGCTTACAGGCTTAGGTCTTAAGGTCTTTGATTCATTTTGAGTTAATTTTTGTATACACTGTTACAATAACAAAAATAGCTTCTGGTTTAATTAAAGCTCAGATTAGTTAACTAAATAATCCAGCCTGATGTACTAATAGCCTATTGTGTTCTATTGCTATTGGGATTATCCTTTCAGATTTGGAATAACCATACAGAAGTAGAAAGCATACAAACATTTCTGCAGGCCTGCGCTCATTCAGAATGTCCCTGACAAGTCTACTTCAGGTTGAAACATGTAGCTTTCAACTCAACAAATACTTGAAGAATAACACATTATGGTCCAGGCCATGAATATGTTCCCAAGCTATTAATTTGTCTCCTCTGGCCAGTAGGCTAAACTTCTGTAAGAAAGGTTAACTTCTGGCTGGGGACAGTGGCTCACGGGTATAATATCAGTACTCTGGGAGGCTGAGGTGGGTGGATCATGAGGTCAGGAGTTTGAGACCAGTCTGGTCAAGATGGTGAAACCCCACCTCTACCAAAAATACAAAAATTAGCCAGGCGTGGTGGCGGGCGCCTGTAATCCCGGCTACTCAGGAGGCTGAGGCAGGAGAATCGCTTGAACCTGGGAGGCGAAGGTTGCAGTGAGCCGAGATTGCACCAGTGAATTCTAACCTGGGTGACAGAGCAAGACCATCTCGCCTCAAAAGAAAAAAAAAAAAAAGTTCACTTTCAGGGGAGAGTTAAAGTCCCTTGCCAAAACAAACTGAACTCTTTCCTACAATCAATCTCAATATGCTCAACTTACGAGATATAATAAGTCACTCACATAGAGCAGGATTTCACAAGCTTGGTATTATTGACATTTTGGAACAGATACTTCTTTGTTGAGGGGGCTGGCCTGTACGCCATAGGATGTTTAGCAGTATCCCTTACCCTTCTACCTGCTGGATGCCAGAATAACCCTCTCCCAGTTGTGACAACCAAAAATGTCTCTAGACTCTGACAGCTATCTCCTAGGGGACAAAATTGCTTCCAGTTGAGAATCAGTGATATAGAGTAAGTAAGAAACTTAATTACACACAGATACTCTAAATCTTGCAATAGCCCTGTGACCCACTATTTTATTTAGTTTTGACTGTAAGTGGTGGCTCAGAGCAAATGGCCACTTATTTTCTGCCTAAGAGTATAAACATACTTTACAAAAAAAAAAAAGCAGAAATTTAAGTTGATGATTAGCTGGCCTAAAAATACAGTGAAGACTATACTTGGGCTACACTACAACATGCTTAGGGTTCATTCTAGGGCTGTGTTATATTCTGAGGTTTTCTGAGGAGACTGGGTAATTAAGTTCTTTGGCATTCTACCACTGCTTCTAATCCAATATTGTACTGGAGTCCTAGCCAAATAAGGATAAGACAAGAAAAAAAAAAAAAGGTACAAAGGTTGGAAAGGAAGAAACGACGATTCTTATTTGCTGCTAATATAATTCCAACAGACCTCTGGACAAACCTTTAGAACTAGGTAAGAGAGTTCAACAAGGTTGCTAGATAGACGGATCAACATAAAGGCCAATAGCATTCCTATACACAATAATCAATGAGAAAATAGAACAAAAAAGTCATAGTCGTAGTAGAAAAACTAATTTACCTAGATATAAACTAATAAAAAATGCAAGACACTACTAGGGAGAAAACTGTAAAACATTACTGAAGGACATTAAAAGCCCTAAATAAAAGGAGACACATTTCATGTTTACAGATAAAAGGAGCAAACTTTTCAGAACTGTTCTCAAATTAACCGATAAATCCAAAGCAATTCTAATAAAAACAACACTGTTTTCACGGAACATAAAAAAAAAAACTGATCTCAGAATTTACAGCAAAGACAAAGTCAAGAATAGCTAAGGTAATTTTGAAGACCATAAAATTACCTCACCAGGTATCAACTTATACAGCTATACAGTAATGGAGACAATGCAGTGTTGGTTAGGACAAACAGCTACTGAAATAGGAAAGCGGACCTAGAATATTCTGCATATGTAGGAAACTGATGTATGACAAAGGTGGCACGACTGAGGTAAAGACAAGTTGACCCCATCAAAGAAGCGCCATTCTCCTCTTTCAGTTCAAGTAAAGGGACAGTGAGAAATTTCAAAGGCCACTATAGAGGTGAGAAAACTGCTGAAAACGGAATTATGGTTTGCCAAAATATTGGGCTTGTCCTGGCTGGCGGTTCCTAAACCATTTAGAGCAGGCGTCCCCAAACTTTTTACACAGGGGGCCAGTTCACTGTCCCTGAGACCGTTGGAGGGCCGCCACATACTGTGCTTCTCTCACTGACCACCAATGAAAGAGGTGCCCCTTCCTGAAGTGCAGTGGGGGGCCAGATAAATGGCCTCAGGAGGCCGCATGTGGCCGCGGGCCGTAGTTTGGGGACGCCTGATTTAGAGGCTAAGCTAATGTGGAATTCTTAGGGCATAATCAACACCCAGCCAATAACCCAAAGGAGACTCAAACATAGGTATTCCTGTGCTTCTGCCAATTTAAAGCTCCTTGGGCTGGAAGATGGATTGTTTTCAGAAATGCTAAAAAGAAATAAATGTTATATATGAGCAAAGAGAGCCTCTTTGGGGACTAATCCTATCGTATCACATGCTCAGAGTGCGAGCTGTAGTTGGAAATATTATGCCCTTACTCTCTATTCCCCACAACCCCATTTGTCCACATGCCAGGTAGCACATTCTTGTCGTGGGCTAGAGAACAGCGACCAGAGTTTTTTTCAGAGCTTTCCCTGTATCAACAATAGCCTTGTTGATGACTTTAGAAAGGGGAAAAAAAAAAAAAAACTTACAGTTTATTTGCACCTTAAAAGTTAATGATAAAAATGCAAATACAGTAACAAAAACATCCTCACACAATCTATAATTTTAAGTAATTTATTTCAATAGAAATATTTCAGAAAACTGTATTTAAATTCATTTTAAGTTAGCTTATGCAGCCACACTGAAGATCGCACACTCACATTTGCATATTAAACAGAAACAAAAAGTGAGAGAGGAACCAAGCTGCACATCACTCAAGGAGGTCATAGTGCAATCGAGTGCTTCATCATTAGAGTACCTCAAAGTTACTTGGGATAAAGAATAAAAACGGCTTGTGTTTTCAGATATATTATTATCATTGGGTACCTGTCCCTACAGATGTTTGATCTCTTTTAGATTATGTTGTCAACCAGTTCCCCACCCCCTCCCCACACACATGTAATTCAGTAGGATGTAAAACAAGGAATTTCTCAGTCATCAAGGTACAGAAACTCTTGAGAGTCTGCTGACTTACTATCAGCTGTTTCACCATACCTATTAAGTCAGCAATTATTGGACTATATATGTGAATAGTTCTAGTAGGTGATACCTTCAGGGGAAACAATATTTGTTATCTGGTATCTAAAGCACAGCGAATAATTATGGAGTTTCTGCTTTTCTATTAAGAAAAAAAGAGTCTAATTATGTATTCTTTTAATCCCACCGTCACTTCTGTAGTACAAATGGCCAGGGTCTAAATTTAAATTTTGCTAATAATCCTCAAGGACCAGTTAACTGTTTCATTTGGCTTGAATGACTATGTCTACTTGCCTACTCTGGAACATACTAGCCCTTTAAAAAAAAAACGTGAAAAGAACATCTTGACTCAGGTTAACATCCAGTAGCTCCAGGTCTGCCGATACTCTGAGAGAAGCAAAATATCGCCAAGCTTTGCTTTCACTGAGAAAACTAGTTTAGTCTCTTAACTTCCCTTTAATTTACATATTAGTGATATTTTTACTTTCTTGAACTGGCAGGTTAAGTGACTATTTGTTTGTTCTGAGTGTTACTTAAATATGAAAATAAATGGAAATAAATCTCACTTCTGGACAAAGGGATTTTCATTACAAGATTTCAGTACATTTAACAAAACCGAAACAAATATTTCTGGTTGTATCTTATTTTAGGGCTTTTTCAAAAGGCCTTACAATTAAATGTATGCTCAAAACATCAACAAAATAAAAATGAACTTGGCTGAATAGTGCTCTTCAAATTTGTTTTTAAGAGTGTATATCTAAGGTTGATTCGGGTGGGTTTATTTTTAATCTCCTACTCTAAAAGGATAGAAGCAGGGAGGGAGCTTGTTTAAAAAGACTCAAAAACCAAGGAGGACTGCAACAGTTACCTACAGAGGTTTCTGCAATGACTCTGTTAGATTTGGGGTGACAAAGATTAAGCTGGTGGAGAGAGGGATATAGCACACACTCCTGAAATGAGAGGAGCAAGAGGGCACATGATTATTGTCATATTTGATGCCCTAAAATTGCTCTTCAAATAGTAAGGCACTGACCAAATTTTCCCCACACCATAACTTAAGACACAGGTGTAATCAAATTGTTTACAATAAGCAAAAGAGTTTTTATGCATGGATCTCTTTCATTAGAACCCTCCAAATAGGGGGAACAAAATGTCATTTTAGACACAAGCCATTTTTAGGGGCTCAAAATCAAAGGTACCTAAATCATTCTGAAAAGGTTCACATGGAAAGTAATACATCATCAATGTGATTAAAAAGCAATATTTGTATCTCAAAGCTTAGAAAAAACAGAATACCACTTGGGCTGTAAAATAATATACTTACTATTTTGAAAGAAATAATACAAAAAAGAGAGGGAAAATAAAAGCAAACCCTAAAAGGTCACCAAAGAAGTCAGACCAACCTCATCACTTGCTTTATATCATCTATTCATGCAACAGCAGTACTATTATTCCACCTGGACACAGTTAAATTCATCTTCATTTTCAAAAAGGGATCCAATTATTTCAAAAGCCTTTGAAGCAGAGGATTTACTTTATTAAAGACTATCTTCTGTTAGGCAACACTGGTACCCCTTGTTTGCAGAAGATGACTATATGGTGGTTTAAAAACTGGTTGGAAAGGAATGTGCCTCAAAAAGAAAACAGGAAGGATACCAATAGTAGATATATTCATTTAAAAGGCCAATGAATTAAGCCTGTTACTATTGATTTTCAATTAGTATGATGCCCTATAGTTTTGTTTTCAGTAGTAAAGGTATACAGCTTACGAATTAACCTCAGAAAGAAAAGACTCGTGCTCAAGTCACTTGGCCAAAAGATCAACAGGCTGCTCCTCGAGGGCCCCAGTTTAAGCTAACAAGGAACACTAGAGTCTGTAAACATGCTTTCCATTCTTTTTTTCCTCCTGTACTGGTAAATAGTGCCTCCTAGGCTCCTCATGAATCTTCTAGAAGAGGAATAAAGCCACTTATACAAACTTTGCAGTTGTAAACACCCTGACTCTTGATAATACAGAAAGATCCAATACCAACAGAGTCCACACAGAAGGCAGTGCAATAGTTACATGGCATTTTCCACACGGAAAAATTGTCATTGAAGCACACGCCTAGAAAGAAAAAAATACTTAAACTCAAATTGTTTGGATCCCTTTCTGTAATGTTTACCCAAATAATATTTACATAGTGAAGAAAACAAAATAGGAAGGTGTGTTTGATCAGTTCTTGTTCAATTCTTAGCGTCTGTCTGGGGGTAAAAATCATATTCTGAAAAACAAGCAAAGCCTGAACAGAGGGGGCATGAGGCCAAAAATAGTGCTCTGGAAGGTCATTCTGCAGTTATTTTTAGAGTTGTAATTTTAAAGCTGACATTTTACTTACATATGAAAAATAAACCTCCATGTTTAAATAAATTGTTAAATGAGATTGCCTCAAATTGGCTAGTGTGCACTACTACAACAGGCCATATAACATGCTAATCATTATGCTTATCATAAACAGGCTTAAATTTAAATTATAATTGAATTTCAAATGAGTTTTTGGCTAAGGGCGAAACAACTGAACTTAATGCTGATGAACATTCTGGGCTTTTGAGTCACTTATTTACAGTTGAGGGCAGGCTTAATGAGAAGATTCATCTTCCCACAAATGAACTACCTAAATATTTAATTTATTTTAGTGACATATTTTTTTGAATTATGAGATATATGGTGAATTATAGATTAAAAAATTCACCTACACTATTTTAATTCACTTTGTTTTCAATTTGCTTGAAATGCTAAAATAATCTTAAGCAATGACTAATTTTTTGGATGAATAAATTTTAAAGTCAGAAAAACAACAAGGACTTCTTTCTGTACTGTTATGTAAAGAGGGTTAGTCGGTCAGACGCCACAAGGCTATCTACTATTAACCAAATTTGAACACTATCTTACTCTATGCAAGCATCCATTAATGTTCAGAGCTGAAAATATCAAACACATCTTCCAGCTTAGCTCTCTCCCTTTGGCAAAACTATGTGATGTCAGGCTCTGATTTTTAGTTGCATATTTCCACAGATACGGTTAACCTACAACATGTCTACTTTAGCTTATTTATGACAAACAAAAAAAATCCACAGGGTTTCCATTCACAATACTTTTTTAAAAAGCACATACACTGTTAAAAACGCTGTTTCTGAAGAGAAATAAACAAATCGAGAAATTTAAAAAAATGCAAAACAAAAGTAAGATGTGCAAGGTCTATGTAGTAATACTACTGGCTATGCAGATGGTGTCTTTCTCTGTACCCAACATGGGTTAAGGTCAATTGAAAAATCCTTCAGCACAGGAAACTTTTGCCTTCTCCAGCCTATACCACTAAATCTCAGAAATAATGGTATTTCTGTTATATAAGAAGCATATTTGAACTCTGAACATCTTTTCCAAACAGAGAATTAAATTTAAAACACTCAAAAAAGCTCTTCTCTTTTCCTTTGGATAGATTTTAGGCTAATTATTGTATAAGCAATATTTTCTATTTAAGTTTCATGGACTGAAGGGCAAAATACTTATAATAAAAAAGTATAAAATTCTTCAAGAATATGAATGTGAGAAATTTTATGTGAGGCCCAAAATAACAAGTTTATTAGTAGACACCAGTCACAGATTACTACCTTACTTGGGCCACTGCTAAAATCTATGATGTCTCAAGAGTTTATATCATTCAACACGTAGCCTTTGTTCGAGTGCCATTTTTCGTTAAAATTCTAAGGCATCTCATCTTCAAATTTTTTTTTTTAAATAATTCAACATTTATTTTACAAATTAAATGCATTATTGCATAGAAGAGTTCTCAAAAAACTGCTTGGTTAACTACTGACAAAATATGGTTTCATGTCAGAGACCTATAGTAACTTTTCAGAAAAATGTTTTGGTATGTTTATGGTAAATTATATAAGAATTATAAAGTTTAAGAATACTTAAAATTTCCAGAATCTGCTATTTTCACCTTTATCCTTCTTAAAATTATTTCGTATGTCTTGTAACAAAATACATATGTACATCTATATGTGTTACCCTTTAAACAAATACGATCCTGAATCTCATTCACACTGAACAAAAACAGAGAAAATGTATCATAAAAAAATAACTCTGGCATGATGCACATTAAACACCGTAAAGGAAAATATCCCAACAAAATATCAATGTGTCTTGACACAAACCTCCTGTGACTGGGAGAAGAGAAATTCCAAATTAACCTGGGAAAAGATCTAGTTATTGTAAAACCTCAGAAAAGTTTAGGTTGGGATTATAGTTCTTTACTTTAGCAGATCCGTGGTCCAACAATGAATTCACATAGAAAGCTAAACTTTAATCCTAGTTAGAAACCACCATGCTTTCTGGAATCTACTTTAAAAAAAAAAAAAGTGTCTGGCAAAAGAACACTCAGCCTTTGTAACTCCTGCAGGAAATTATGTTCCTCTTACAGTACTACATTTCAGAAGTTTAGTGTTTAAAAAATTCTCCCCTCATCCAAAACAAAACACCCCCACCCAATCCCAAACAAACCCAACAACTCACATGACCAACATTTCTCATTCCTACACTCTTGCTGTGAGAAAGCCAGTGAGGTTGCAGACTACAAGAGGGAGAGCAAACCTTGCAGGTGGGCTGCTGGTTCAATCCCTGCCAAGTCTCTTCACCTCTGTTCCAAACCAGCTCCTGATGTAGTCCACAACAATATGTTTTTCCTTTCTAAAGCGTACCTAAAAAAGGCAATTCCCCCCTCTAAAATTATTACAAAGTTAAAAGAAATGCAAATTAGCTACGATCTATTCCAAGCACAGCACCGCCAGAAGATTCACACACACTATTTGGTGTTTCATGTTGGTTTTCCTTTCATTCTTTTAAGGCAGTGGTTTCCACAGGTCAGTTCTGAGATAAGAAGCATGGTTCATGGCAGTTTGTTTTGCAACTCCAATTTGTTCTCTGGGAATATCTCAATTCATTCCCTGAAATTAGTGCTTTTTTGGTTCAGAACTCCAAAGACTGAGACAGAGCCTCTGGGCTCCTCCTGGCACAGGATGGTTTATAGCTGGCGCTCTTTTATCAGGTCCCCATGCTCACATAGGAGCAATAGCTCACCTCTCTTTTTTTCTCAGGCTTTTACTCAAAAGTCATCAAGTTTGTAGGAACCTAAAAAATATAAGCATTACATACTGAGTTCAAAAGTTGTTTTTCAAAGGAGTATTTCTTATCTTTCCTTGTTATTTAGGCAAGCCCAAACCTACCTAAATATCTTTTTTTTTTTTTTTTTTTTTTTTTTTTAAGACGGAGTTTCGCTCTTGTTACCCAGGCTGGAGTGCAATGGCGCGATCTTGGCTCACCGCAACCTCCGCCTCCTGGGCTCAGGCAATTCTCCTGCCTCAGCCTCCTTGAGTAGCTGGGGTTACAGGCATGCGCCACCATGCCCAGCTAGTTTTTTGTATTTTTAGTAGAGACGGGGTTTCACCATGTTGACCAGGATGGTCTCGATCTCTCGACCTCGTGATCCACCCGCCTCGGCCTCCCAAAGTGCTGGGATTACAGGCTTGAGCCACCGCGCCTGGCCTAAATATCTTTTAAAAGGAATTTGATATAAGGAGCTTCAATAGTTTATGAATAATATGATAGAACATTTTAGAGAGAAAATCACCAAAATGAGTTAATACTCTTTTTCCAGTAAAATGACATCTATACAGGAGAAGGAGTAGAGACAATATCTTTCTTGTCTAATACAGGGAGCTCAGTAGATGCCGACCAAATGTATAAATGAGCAAGAGTAAGTATGACTCTGGTCGGGTGAGATTCCAGAAACACTTGCTTGTCATTATTTATTTTCTCATTATATATTGCAAAAAATCCTAGGTACACATTTTTAAAATCAGCAAAAACAATTTTATAACAAGCATTACTAAAAATTTATTTGTAAAATCATGATTAAAGTAAGTACAGAAAAACAACATTCCTTATTAGATACATTGTGTTTGGACACATTGTGACTCTGGAAAATCAATAGGTTATATAATATAGTTCTCTGCCTAAAGATTAGAGATTTTATTTGCTTTCTTTTTGAAATCCAATAATTCTCTAAAATAGGATTTTTACCTTGAAAAATTAGTTGATGAGTCTTCTAATCAAATAACTAAAGAGAGTTTCACCACATTAAAACAAATCCTCAAAACCAGTTTTCCAAAGTTGTACTGGTAGAGATAATATGTCAGTGGTCTTTTCTGTCTTTAAGACAGTTTAACAGCTCTTACACTTTAGCAACCTCTCTCTGAAACCTATTATACTAAAAAACATGAATATCTTACAAGTGTCAGCTTCTGAATAAAATTCTGTTGGACAATATAATCATAACTGAATTACAGATCAGATACAACAGAAATGCTCAAATGCTTAAAGTATAAATTTCAGGTCTGATGATAAGAAACCCGTATTTAAGTAAAGTAAAAGTTTCATTTCTTTTTAAGTTGCCTAAATGTGGTTTAAGGTATTTTGCATGTGAGTCAGAGTTTTCTACTAAGACTTTCACAGGTTCTACTTAGAAATTTGCCACTATCCTAATTCTTGCAAGTACAGAAACAAATATTTATACACATCTGGTTGACTTGTTCCATAGAAATACTAATACAGTAAAATAAATTGAACTTTTAACCTGGTATGTACAAATTGTTTAGATTCATCTTGGAATCTGAGACTAAAAAAAAAAAAAAAAAAGAGGCTCAATACTTTAAATTACATTTAAAGAAAATGTATAGCAAAGAAGTGAATCATGGAAGGCTAAGTCTAGACAAAGCTAGATCCGTTTCTTTCATTCTGCCCTCGACACTAACTTGACAAGGCAAAAAAATAATTTTGCTCTATGCCATTTCATGTCTTTTACGGAGGCTGCTAAAAATGGTACTAAATACTGTTATCGGTGTTTCACATGTATTTGAAACAATAAAAATTTTGAGATAACAAAGCCCACTCCAACAATATTTTTAAAAATGTCCCACTCTTATCACAAACCGCTGGGATCCTAGTGGCAGGAGATCCCATGATCCTCCTGCATATTTGAGTTACCAGGGGTTTGGAACTACCTGGAGAGCTGCCACAGACACGGCTTAACTCTACACGGAGCCCAGGGGGTATGACGTGGGGAAAGCTGCAAAGGAACACGGCCATAGATGCCCATCCACCAAGGCTCTTCATATTCTTCTAGGTGGCTTTGACCTTTGTTAACTGCCATATCTGGAGAGAGCAGGGCTGTCTTTCTCATGAGACTAGGGCGAGTCTGATGAGTCTGAGCTGCATGTCCCATTGTCTGGTGGCCCCTTCCAAGGTCCGTGCCTGGCCACTCCTATGGGAGCAGGCACAGTGTAGCTTCCACTACTCTGCTGGAATGCTTTAGCCGGCGACTGTCACCATAGTGCGTTTACCAGTGGCCCCTACTAACCTGCTGGAACATGTTCACCACTGACCCCTGATGAAGTGCTTTTGGCAGTAGCCCCTAATGGAGAGGTTTTGCCAGCAGCCTGAGAGCACCTTGGTCCACCCAGTGCAGTTAGTGGTTGACTGCAAGAGGCCAGCGGAAAAAGCTAGAGGCCCGGTCCCAGCCCCTTGTGAGTTATAGCACACAGCCCAGGAGTGCCAGGCTGAACCTCGGCTCTCTGAAAGCATCCAGAAATGAAGCCAACTGACTATACCTAACTCACACCACAGTCAAACCCTGAGGGAAACAACATAAAAACAAAAAGCACCATGCAAAAGTCAGCAACTTCAAAGGATAATGCAACACCAGTCCTCACAGACGAAAAAAAACCAGTGCAAGAACTCTAGCAACTCTAAAAACCAGAGTGTCTTCCTACCTCCAAACAACCCACAACAGTTTCCCAGCAATGGTTCTTAACCAGACTGAAATAACTGAAATGACAGACATGGGAGTTAGAATCTGACTAGCAAAGAAGCTCAGTGAGACACAGGAGAAAGCGGAAACCCAATCTAAAGAAAACAGTAAAACAATCCAAGAGTTGAAACACAACACAGCCATTTAATTTAAGAAAGAACCAAACTGAACTTCTGGAATTTAAAAATTCACTCTAGGAATTTCTTTTCTTTTCTTTTTTTTGAGATGAAGTCTCGCTCTGTCACCCAGGCTGGAGTGCAGTGGTATGATCCTGGCTCATTCCAACTTCCAATTCCTGGGTTCAAGCGATTCTCCTGCCTCAGCCTCTCTAGTAGCTGGAACTACAGGCAAGCACCAAAATGCCCGGCTAATTTTTGTATTATTAGTAGAGATGGGGGTTTTACCATTTTGGCCAGGCTGGTCTCAAACTCCTGACCTCAAGTGATCTGCCTGCCTTGGCCTCCCAAAGTGTTGGGATTATAGGTGTGAGCCACCAGTCCCAACCTAGGAATTTCATAACATAATTGGAAGCATTAACAACAGAATAGACCAAACCAAGGAAAGAATTTCAGAAACTGAAGAGCACTCCTTCGAATTAACAGAGACAGTAATAAAGAAAAAATTTTTAAAAAATGAGCAAAACCTTTGATAAATATAGGATTATGTAGAGACTAAACCTATGACTCACTGGTGTTACTGCAAGAAAAGAGGAGAAAGCAACTTGGAAAACAAATTTGACGATACAGTCCACAAAAATTATCCCAATTTTGCTATAGAAGTTGATGTGCAAACTCAAGAAATTCAGAAACTCCCCACAAGATACGATGCAAGATGACAATTCCCAAGAGACTTAATCATCAGATTCTCCAAGTCAATGCAAAAGAAAAAAAATCTTAAATGCAGCTAGAGAAAAGGGGCAGCAGTTACAAAGGGAACCCCATCCGGCTAACAAGTGGACCTTAAAGTAGAAACTTTTATAAGCCAGAAGAGGCTGGAGGCCTATTCTGAGCATCCTTAAAGAAAATAAATTCCAACCAAGAATTTCATGTCCCACCAAACTAAGCTTCCTAAGTGAAGGAGACAGAAAATCCTCTTGAGACAAAGACTAAGAGATTAATGATCATCAGACTTGCCTTACAAGGGGTCCTTTCAGAAGTGCTACACGTGGAAATGAAAGAAAAATACCTGCTACCACAAAAACATACTTAAGTATACAGTCCACTGATACTATAAAGCAACTATACAATGAAGTCTACGTAACAAGCAGCTAACAACATGACAGTATTAAATCTTTACACATCAATAGTAACCCTGAATGTAAATGGGCTAAAAAGGCAAAGTGGCAGGCTGGACAAAGCAGCAAGACTCAACTAACTGTTGTCTTCAAGAGAACCATCTCACATGTAACAACATAAAAAGGACAAAGAAGGGCATTACATAATGATGAAGGGTTCAATTCATCCAGAAGATTCAACTATCTCAAAGATATATGCATCCAACAGTGGAGCACCTAGATTCACAGAACAAGTTCTTAGAGACCTACAAAGAGACTGACATAACTACACAATGGAAGATTTCAACATCCCACTGATAGTGTCAGGCAGATCAGTGAGGCAGAAAACTAACAAAAATATTCTGGACTTAAACTCAACATCTGACAATATCCAACAACACAAAAATATACATTCTTCTCACTGGCACAAGACACATTCTCTAAGATCAATCACATGCTTGGCCATAAAGCAAGTGCCAACAAATTAAAAAATACTGAAATCATATCAGTCATACCCTCAGACTACAGTCCAATAAAACTGGAAATCAATAACAAGAAGTTTCTCAAAACCATACAATTACATGGAAATTAAACAACTTTCTTCCAAATGACTTTTGGGTAAAGAATGAAATTGAGACAGAAATCAAAAAGTGATTTAAAACTAATGAAAAACAGAGACACAACATACCATACTGAATACCTATGTCAAGAAGTTAGAAAGAGCTCAAACTAACAACTTAACATCACACCTGGAGGAACTAGAAAAACAAGAAGAAACCAACCCCAGAGCTAGCAGAAAAAAAGAAATAACCAAAATCAGAGCAAAAGTGAATGAAATGGAGATGTGAAAATGCATACAAAAGTTGTATTTTTGTATGAAACTACAAAATGAAACCAAAAGTTGGTTCTTTGAAAGAATAAACAAGATTCACAGACTGGTAGTTAGATTAATGAAGAAAATAAGATAAAAGATCCAAACAATCCCAATCAGAAATTACAAAGGTGACATACAACTGACTCCACAGAAATACAAAAGATTCTCAAAGACTAACACTTACTCACACAAACTAAAAAACCTAAAATAAATGAATAAATTCTTAGAAACACACAACCTCTGAAGATTCAATGAGGAATAAATTGAAACCCTAAAGAGATCAATAATGAGTTCCAAAATTGTGTTAGTAATAAACAACCTACCAACTCCAAAAAGCCTTGGACCAGATGGATTTCACAGTTGAATTCTACCAGATGTACAAAAAAAGAGCTAGTACCAATCCTACTAAAAATATTCTGAATAATCGAGGAAGAAAAGACTCCTTCCTAACTCATTCCATGAAGCCAACATCACTCTGATACTAAAAACTAGCAGAGACACAATGAAAAAATTGAACTACAGGTCAATATACCTGATGACACAGACACAAAAATCTCCAACAAAATATTAGCAAACTGAATCCAGCAGCATATCAGAAAGTTAAGTCACCACAATCCAGTAGACTTTATTCCTGAGATGCAAGATTGGTTCACCAGATGTGATTCATCACATAAACAGAATTAAAAACAGAAAACCATACAATCATCTCAAAGGATGCAAAAAAGGCTTTTGATAAAATTCAACATCCTTTCATGTTAAAAGCCCTCAACAAAATAGGCACTGAAAGAACATATCTCAAAATAGTAAGAGTCATCAATGGCAAACCCACAGCAGCAACACTCTGAATGGGCAAAAGTTGGAAGTATTCCCTTATAGAACTGGAAAAAGACAAGGATGGATGTCCGCTCTCACCACTCCCATTCAACATAGTACTGCAAGTCCTAGCCAGGGCAATCAGACCAGAGAAAGAAATAAAAGGCATCCAAACAGAAAGGGGATGTCAAACTCTCTCTCTTCAGACTATATGATGTCATATCTAGAAAACCCCAGAGTCTCTGCTCCAAAGCTCTTAGATCTGATAAACAAGTTCAGCAAAGTCTCAGGATAGCTAATCAGTATCTAAAAATCAACAACATTTCTATACACCAATAACATTTGAACTGAGAGCCAAATCAAGAACACAATTCCATTTACAGTAGCCATAAAAAAGAAAAACATATCTAGGGATACAGCTAACTCAGGAGACGAAAGATTTCTACGAGAATCACAAAACATTGCTCAAAGAAATCAGAGATGGCACAAACAAATGGAAAAGCATTCCATGCTCATGGATTGGAAGAATCAATACTGTTAAATGTCTATATTGTCCAAAGCAATCTAGGAATTCACTGCTATTCCTATCAAACTACCAATGACACTCTTCAAAGAATCAGGAAAAAAAAATTCTAAAATTCATATGGAGCAACAACAAAAAGCCCAAATAGCCAAGAGCAATTCTAAGCAAAAAGAACAAAGCTGGAGGCATCATACTTTCTGACTTCAAACTATACCACAAGACTACAGTAACCAAAATAGCATGATACTGGTACAAAAACAGATTCCAATGAAACAGGATAAAACCAATGGAACAAGATAGAGAGCCCAGAAATAATGCCTAACACCTACCACCATCTGATCTTTGACAAAGCTGAGAAAAACAAGCAATGAGGAAAAAGACCCCCCATTCAATAGATGCTGCTGGGATAACTGAATAGCCATATATAGAAGACTAAAACTGGACCCCTTCCTTACGCTGTATACAAAAATCAACTCATGATGGATTAAAGACCTAAATGCAAAACTTAAAACTATAAAAACCCTGGAAGATAACCTAGGAGATACCATTCTGAACACAGGCCCCGACAAAGATGTCATGATGAAGACTCCAAAAGCAGTTACAACAAAAACAAAAACTAACAAACAAGACCTAATTAGAGAGCTTCTGCACAGCAAAATAAACTATCGGCAGATTAAACCAACATTCCTAGAGAATGGGAGAAAATATTTTCAAACTATCTGATAAAGGTCTGTATCTAGAATCTACAAGGAACTTAAATTTACAAGCAACATCCAACCCCATTAAAAAGTAGGAAAAGACATGAACAGACACTTCTCAAGAGAAGACCATATACATGGCCAAGAAGCATATGAACAATGGCCAATATCACTAATTATCAGAGAAATGCAAATCAAAACTGCAATGAGATACCATCTCACACCAGTCAGAATGGCTAAGTCAAAAGATAATAGATGTTGGCAAGGCTGCAGAGAACAGGGAATGCTTATACAATGGTAGGAATGTAAGTTAGTTCTGCCACAGTGGAAAGCAGTTTGGAGATTTATCAAAGATCTTAAAACAGAACTACCATTCAACCCAGCAATCCCATTGCTGGGCATATACTCAAAGGAAAAATAAATTGTTCTACCTAAAAGACACATGTATGCTCATCCTGGCAGTATACACAATAGCAAAGACATGGAATCAACCTAGGTGCCCATCAACAGCGGATTGGATAAAGAAAATGTGGTACATAAATGCTATGGAATACTACACAGTGATTTTTAAGAAACACTGAAATCACGTCCTTGGCAGCAACGTGAATGCTGCTAGAGGCCATTAAGTGAATTAACACAGCAAAAGAACACCAAATACTGCATGTTCTCACTTATAAGTGGAAGCTAAACATTGAATCCACCTAGACATAAAGATGGGAACAACTGACACTGAGCATTACAGAGTGGGGAGGGATGGGAGAGGTGTAAGGGTTGAAAAACTGGTGGATACTCTGCTCACTACCTGGGTGACAGGATCATTTATACACCAGACCTCAGTGATATGCAATATACCCATGTAACAATCCTGCACAAGTACCCTCTGAACCTAAAAGTAAAACAAACAAACAAATAAAAAGAACGGATTTAAAGGATGAAGACAGTTAGAATCCACCAGTGTGATCTGTGTAAGTCATTTCATATTATGGAGACTTAGGTTCAATTATCAAGAAAGGATAATAACTTACATCCTAATATGACAGGGTAAAAGATACTTCTGTAAGCTTTCTAAGCTTATATAGTACATCATATTATTCAATATTACCTACTGATAATGCTAACTGTATACTTCTGCATTGATCAATATGCTGGCCAATGATTTTCAAATATATTTAACAAACTAGTTCTACAAAAAGTCTGTATAAATTTCTGTAACCGCAGCTATGCTTTTTAATGACTGCCCTACCAATCAGTGGTTCAACTCTTAACTGTGCAACAGGGTTTGGGGAAAACACCACAATAAATCCCTGCTCTTCTGCAGCTGAAAGCCTTCCAATTGGACCATTTTTGGTTCAGTGAAATAAAAGCAAATAAAATCCAAATGGTTTTTGGTTTCACTACCACCACAGAAATCCACATTGAATTGGTCACCAGATCAAACAGAGATGAATTCAAATAATTTTTATTAATTTAATATGCCAGCTAGTTTCTACCCTTTAGAGAGCTATACTCTGACTATTCTACCATACTAGCTACCTTTCTCTGCTTTGAACACTTTGTGCTTGCTTCGGCTCCAGGCTCCATGCACCTGCTCTTCCCTTAAACAGCACTCTGCTCTCCTCTCCTTACAGCTCGTTCCTTCCTGTGGTTCATGTCAGTACCATCTCCTCAGGGAGATCTTTGCTGCCCACACTTATGTTATCGAAAGTTGTCTGTACTTCTTTTGGGCTACATCACATGCTTCTATTTTGTTTTCTTTATAAAGTTCTCTTTGAAATTTTGTTACTTGTTTGCTTATTGTTTACCTCCTCACTAAGATGTAGATCTTCATGTCTTACTGACTGTCATCAACAAGAATAAAATCCCCACTATTCTCCTTGGTTAATTCAGAACTAGTCTGCTTACTTCTCTTTGGAACTCTTTTACATATATTCCTGAATTATGGACTATTTTGAGAATTAGGAGAAATGCTTACCTGTTGTTTGTTGCTTTGGCAGGCTGCACTCAAATGCTTAAACCATAGCATTGCATTCATTCTATTGCCAGCTTGAAACTTGTACGAATTTCCTAAAATTATCCAAAACAAGGGGAAATAATAAAACTGTAAGGACAATGACACATAATAATTCTGTCAGATATTAATGAGCAAATTAAAGATGACTAGAGTTTCAGTTTTAGAATTCTATTCATTTAACACCTCCATTTTATTATTTCCTATTTTTATTGTATTTTCAATACAATAAAGAGTGCTTGCTGCAACACATTTACATGCTATCATACATTCAGAAAGTCACTTTTGCTGCTAATGAGTTAGAAGAAATAATTTTATCTCCTTAAATGTTCTTTAGAATAAAATATATCTAAAGAAAACAACTGTGTGGCATATCTAGATATGTGTGGTTAAGACTGCAGAATATTGGTTCTGAATACTTATTACTTAGATGATCTAATTAATAGATTTTCTTTTCTTTTCTTTTTTTTAAGATGGAGTCTCATTCTGTCACCCAGGCTGGAGTGCAATGGCGCGATCTCAGCTCACTGTACCCTCCCCATCCCAGCTTCAAGAGATTCTTGTGCCTCAGCCTCCTGAGGAGCTAGGATTATAGGCATGTGCCACCATGCCCAGCTAAGTTTTTTTGTATTTTTAGTAGAGACAGTGTTTCACCATGATGGCCAGGCTGGTCTCGAACTCCTGACCTTAAGTGATCTGCTGGCCTTGGCCTCCCAAAGGGCTGGGATTATAGGCGTAAGCCCCTGAGCCCGGTCTAAATATTAGTAGATGTTAATGTTAAGTTTTAACATGCCAAAACGCTTCAACATGTTTTAACACTTAAACACTAGCTATTTAGGAGAATGAAGGATTAGTCAGGTAACACTGACAGACTATGCTTTCAGTCTTTAGTTACAGACATTTGTCAAGATTATTACAGATTTCCAGTTCTGTTGAGGGCTCTTGGGGAAAATCTAGGAGGCAACTTTATCTCTTTTAGCAAATTAGAAATTCATCTGTGCTTTGTGTATTAGTAATTCCTCTACTGACTTTAATTCACGACTGACACATAATGAGGATATTTTAAATGGTTACATGTATTAAGGTGAGGAGGCAATACATTGAGAAAAAAAAAGGATCTATGTACTATAGGCTGTTCCAAATTAAGCTTTATTTTTTTTCATTGACCTAAGTTCTTTTTAATTTCACAATTTTTGCAGATTTCTATTCAACTCATTCAATGGCTCAAGAGCCTAACTATATTTAAGTATGATTCAGCTTTTCCTTGAGATTCTAACACTCAAAGAACTTTTTCACTTTCAGAAGTAATTGTTTCTGCACCAAATGCACAATTAGTCAAGTAACATTGTTACACTTGCTAAACTCAGACAAAGACATTAGGTCAATGTGAAAAGAAGGCATATCTACAATTAAGCTGGTCACAGCTACAATTTACCTACTCACTCCTCCCCTGCAAAAGGCCATTAGTATAGAGAGACGTCATAAAATTTTGGCTACCTGAAATAGTTCTATTAGGCATGCTAAAAAGAAAACCTGAAGAAAACAAAGAATTTGTTAACTAAATCCAATGAATACGTTCTCATCTTAAAATGTAACCTTATGAATTATGCCTTTTACGTGGCAAGGAGGCTGGGACTTTGAATTCAAAATTTTGAGTAGGCTTCTACACACCAACAGCGACCAAGCAGAGAATCAAACCAAGAACTCAACCCCTTTTATAATAGCTGCAAAACAAAACAAAACAAAAACCAAAACCTCAGGAATATACCTAACAAAGGAGTCAAAAGATCTCTACAAAGAAACTACAAAACACTGCTGAAAGAAATCACTGTCAACGCAAACAAATGGAAACACATCTCATGTTCATGGATGGGTAGACTCAATATTGTGAAAATGACTATACTGCCAAAAGCAATCTACAAATTCAACGCAAGTGCCATCAAAATACTACCGTCGTTCTTCACAGAAATTAGCAAAAACAGCCCTCCAAAGCCAGAGCAAGACTAAGCAAAAAGAACAAATCTGGAGACATTACACTACCTGATTTCAAACTATAGTATGAGGCACATAGACCAATGGAACAGAATAGAGAACCCAGAAGTAAACTCAAATACTTAGAGCCAACTGATCTTCAATAAAGCAAACAAAAACATAAAGTTGGGAAAGGACACCCTTTTCAACAAATGGTGCTAGGATAATTAGCTTGCCACATATAGGAGAATGAAACTTGATCCCCATTTCTCACCTTACATAAAAATCAACTCAAGATGGATTAAGGACTTAAATCTAAGACCTGAAGCTATAAAAATTCTAGAAGACAACATTGGAAAACCCTTCTAGACACTGGCTTAGGCAAGGATTTCATGACAAAGAACCCAAAAGCAAATGCAATAAAAACAAAGATAAATAGTTGGGACCTAATTAAACTAAAGAGCTTTTGCACAGCAATAGGAATAGCCAGCAGAGTAAACAGACAACCCACAGAGCGGAAGAAAATCTTCACAATCTAAACATCTGACAAAGGACTAATATCCAGAATCTACAATGAACTCAAATCAGAAAACAAAAACAAAAACAAAAACCCATCGAAAAGTGGGCTAAGGACATGAATAGACAATTCTCAAAATAAGATATAAAATGGCCAACGAATAAATGAAAAAATGTGCAACATCCCTAATGATCAGGGAAATGCAAATCAAAACCATAATGCAATACTACCTTACTCTTGCAAGAATAGCCATAATAAAAAAATAAAAACAGAGTAGATGTTGGTGTGGATACGGTAAACATGGAATGCTTCTACACTGCTGGTGAGAAATATAAACTAGTACAGCCACTATGGAATACAGTGTAGAGATTCCTCAAAAAACTAAAAGCAGAACTACTATTTGATCTAGCAATCCCACCTTTGGGTATCTACTCAGAGAAAAAGAAGTCATTATTCAAAAAAGATACTTGAACGTGCATGTTCATAGCAGCATAAAATGTAATTTTAGGAATTATGCCTTCGATATGAGAAGGAGGCTGGGGCTCTGAATTCAAAATTTTGAGTAGGCTTCTATACACCAACAGCGACCAAGAAGAGAATCAAATCAAAAACTCAACCTCTTTTATAATAGCTGCAAAACAAACAAACAAACAAACAAACACCTTAGAAATATACCTAACAAAGGAACTGAAAGATCTCTAAAAGGAAACCACAGAACACTGCTGAAAGAAATCACTGATGATACATACAAATGGCAACATATCCCATATTCACGGATGGGTAGAATCAATATTGTGAAAATGACTATACTGCCAAAAGGAATCTACAAATCCAACACAATCGTCATCAAAATACCACCATCATTCTTCACAGAATTAGAAAATTCACAATTGCAAAATTGTGGAAACCAACCCAAATGCCCATCAGTCAACGAGTGAATAAAGAAACTGTGGTATATGTACATGATGGAATATTATGCACAAAAAAGAACGGATTAACAGCATTTGGAGTGAGCTGGATGACACTGGAGACTATTATTCTAAGCGAAGTAACTGAGGAATGGAAAACCCAACGTATGTTCTCACTGATATGTGGGAGGTAAGCGATGAGGACACAAAGGCGTAAGAATGATGCAATGGACTGTGGGGACTTGGCGGCAAGAGTGGGAGGTGGGCGAGGGATAAAGGACTACAAATACGGTGCAGTGTATACTGCTTGGGTGATGGGTGCACCAAAATCTCACAAATCACCACTAAAGAACTTACTCATTTAACCAAATACCACCTGCACCCCAATAACTTATGAAAAAAAAAAACAGAGTAGATTGTGCTTATTCTGTAAACCAATCTACTTAATCTAAAAACAAGACATTTTGGTATTATTATTTTTTCCTGCATCCAACATATTTGCTTACTTGTTTACTTAACACTCTGAAACATTCTAAAAGTATGATATCTTTTGATACAAAAGAGCATCTGAATAAACAGAGGTCAAAATATAGTTGTGAAGTCAATAAAAGGTAACATAGTATAGTATTCCAGTCGTGAACTGCTGAAAGTATCTTCTCTCTGGTACTTGTCAACAGCTGGCAGTTGTTATAAAGGAAGAAAAGCCAATCACTTGGGGCTATTTTCTGATGAGCTTTGGGGTATTCACTATAGTCACAGGTAAAGTAAAGAGGTCTGATGTAATTCTATATGGCCCATCCTCCAGTTTCTCATACACATTTTACAAACTCCAATAATCAATAGCCAATTATTTTCTATTCATAAGTGTCTATACACTGTATATAAAATATTATAATTAACTTGGAAAGTGATCTCAGAGAAATATATTCAGAGTCAGTTTTGCTGCTTATGAATTAGAGGCAATAATTTTGTTCTTAAATGTTGTTTAGAAAAAAATGCATCTACATAAACACAATAATTGTGTGGCATCTCTAGATCTGTGTGGATGAGTGCAGATTACTGGTTCTGAATAATTTAAAGTGACAGAATAAATATTTAAAGGAAAACTCTGCCACTTTCAGAACTTAAGAATAACAATCTATTTCACGGTATTGATGAAGGAAGGAATATGGCTTATATGGCAAATCTCTAAAAATTTAAACAGTGGGGTATATATTCTCAAATTCCCTCCTCTTCCTAGTTAGGTTTCTAGGGATTAGCTGGGCTTTTAATTTTCAAGCATATGCCCATGTAGCAAAGAAAATAAGCTCCAAAAATATTAATCTTATTAAAATACATAGTAAGACAAAAGTATTTCCTAACAGATAAAACTACATAAACACTTTCCCTCTTGAGTATTCCAGTGAAACTAGGTTTTGGCTCATCAAATTTTTCATGTAGGCATAAAACATTACATATATATATGACATATATACACACAGACACACATATACATAGATGCAGCATGCTAAGCCCCAGTTATTCTAACAATTCACCTTTTTCAGAGTCAGTCAGCAGGAAGAGATCAGGATGTTCAGGGTCATCAGCCATCATCACCATCCATCCTACCACAGAAACGTTCTTATTGGAGGTTGATTTGAACTGTGAGATAAAAAGATAATTAGTGGAAAGAGAAAATTTATGGTTTATTCTAAGCAAAAATTCAGTGTTAGGGAGTTTATTTTCGGTTTCTCTTAATGAAAGATGAGAGATGAGATTTGAGACTTCATGCTGTTCTTGGTCAGCCTGGGGCCTTTTACTGCTGAATTTCATCATAGGCATGCCCTCTTCAGATCATCTCCTACTTCCCAGACTTTCCCAGCTTCAATTCTTCATCAAAACCTTACTGACCTATTCTCCATTCCCAGAGAGAATAATAACACATTTGTGAATATGACATATTAATTTGTTTTTTCCTGAATTACTCTGCTACTCCTTATAGGAAAGATATTTGCATTTTAGTAGCTATGTTATCTTAGTTCTGATGATCTGATAGCAGTGCTATTAGATAATTCTTTTTTTTTTTTTTTTTTTTTGAGACAGTTTTACTCTGTTACTCAGGCTGGAGTGTTGTGGCATAATCTAAGCTCACTGCAACCAGATAATTCTTAATGGTAATTATCTTACTTGTATTTTTCAAAAAAGAGCGGTATTCTTAGCATATTACTTTTGTAGTTAACTATTATTATTATTATTTTAGCTATGACTTATTTTTGTAACCCTGAGAAATAGCTGTTATAAAAGAAGAATGGTTTGGCTTAAGCTAGTGCTTAAGAGTATGTATGTGAAGCCATTCAGGTACAGTTCAAAAACGAAACAGTACATTATATAAGGAAGTATACATGGTAAAACTCTAAAGAAAAATATGGCAACAAGAAGTTCAGGACAGTGACAGGCTGTGTGAGTATGATTGATAGGAAAGAAGATGCCTCTGGGAAGGCTTTGATGGTTCTAGTAACATTCTGTTCCTTACATTGGGTGGAGAGTATACAGGTGTTCATTTTATTTTTTGTGCTTTAAAATGTACAAATATCCTACCTATCTTCTTTTGTATGTATGATATGCTTCACGGTTAAAGGAAATGGGAAAAAGAATGAACATGGCTCATTTATAACAACATGAGAGTGAAATATGAAAGCTAAGGAAATCAGTAAGTTTTCAGACTGTGAAGGATGAAATTGGCAATACCACAGGACTGCTAATTTGACAGCTCAAAATTTACTTCAATGTGAATAGTATGATCTTCTAATATTCTTTTCCTAAGCTTAAAAACTTCGACCTCAATTCCTTCCTTTTTCAAAAAAAAGTAACTCAAGCAACATAAACTGCTTCAGAAACAGGGATGAAACTATAGAGTGCAAACGCACCTTAAAAACCAGCTGAATCCCATCGCATTCCATAGACATAATCATCATGTGAGATGACAATCACCAGACCTTATTCTATGCATTTATTATATCAGAGGCTTGTGTCATTGTTGCTGCTGGTTTTTACGTATTAATCGGGGATATATTTACACTGTGACTTGTGGTTTTCACCTATCAGTAACCATTTCTTTATTTGTAAGTATTTTGGGTTTTTCCAGATTTCTGTTGTCATAAATATTGTAGAAAGATTCTTCTACAAGTATCTTTGTGCACTTGTTCAAAGATTTCTGTAGGATAAATTCTCAGATGAGGAATTTCTGGCTATTATCAAGCTAAATACTGACTAGGACTGGCCACGACAAAAACAGTACCGATTTAGATTTCTACCAGCCATGGATGACAGTCTATTTCCCTACATCATGACCAACGCTATATCATCAGTCTTTTAAACTTCTGTCTAATGGCAAGAAAGTGTCTCCCTTAATCTGCATTTTTAAATAGTTAGTGAGGCTGATCACTCTATCTTCGCAAACTCTGTTCCTTACAGGCAAAAAATAGATATACTTTATAGAATACTAAAATAAGGTATATAGGCTTACATATGTCCCCCTTCTGGGTTTGTAGACATACATCAACAAGCATATTTTCATCTATGATTTTTTTTCTCCTCCAGCTTTTTATTTTGAAAAAATTCAAACTGTACAGAAGTTGAGAGAATGCCACAATGACTAGCTATATATCCTTAATCTATGTTTTTGTATTTGATCTCTCTGAACATTCACAAGTAAATTGCAGGCATCACAACATTGAACTCTATACTTCCACATGTGTTTTTTAAGAACACAAATATCTTCCTATAGGATCACAACTTAATTATCATTTCTAAGAAACTGAATAGATACCAATATAGAGTCCATATTACATTTTCTTCAATTGTTCCAATAATAATCTCTATAGCTTTAAAATTTTTTCCCCTAATATAACTCCTGGATTAAACTAAAAACCATATATTGCATTTAGTTTTCAAGTCTCTTTTAATCTATAACAGTCCTCCTGTCCCCCTGCTTTTACTCCACCTGTCAAATTTTGGTTTTTTTAAGATTCTAGGCTAGCTGTCTCATAGAATGTCCCACAATTTGGATTTGATTATTTCCTCATAAGATTCACATTAAGTATTTCGGCAAAAATACAACATAGGTGGCGCTGTGTTTAAATAGTGATTTTAATCCTTCATCTGTTGCTTACATACAGCATATATTTTCCTCCAATTTATTTGTATTTTATTTGAAAACAAATTTTTTTCCTCCATTGCTTTTAGTTCTGTGCCATATCTTTTCTATCTCAGAATTAATACTAAGTACAGATATAGACCTGTCTCTATACCCTCTATTCTGCTGTTCAAATTTATTCTTTAATTGTATTTTAATTTAATTAGAAGAGATGAGAAATGCAGTCAATTTCCTTGGTACTCAGTTAGATTTTCTCACAACCCACTATGCTTTAATTTGTAAACATTTTACATACATTACCTATCAGAAACCTCATGTAATTAAAAACCTAAGCTATAACATAATAGTAACTTTTTATGCATAAGCAACAATGCAAAGCACAAAACAATATTTATCAATTAGATGACAAATTCAGTTATAACTTCTCTAATTTGTACTTTTTCTAATTGAAACTAAGAAAACACACACACACACAAAATTTTTATTTTGAATAATGACTTTTACAATAGTCAAATAAGTGAAATCTAGCCAGCAAGTTATCTCAATGTGGTTATGTGAAAAGGTACTTTCTATATTTGAAGATAAAGGATTTAACTGAACTGAATCCAAATTTTTTCTCCCTTTGAGAACAACAGTACTAACTCTACAAATTGTTCTAGCAAAACTAATCTGTGTAAATGTTGTAGGGTATTTGGGCATTATTGTCAATTTGACTAGAATTAAAAAATATATATATTCACAGAATAAATCTCCATGATCATTTACTCAAATCCTTTATCTCAAAGCAAGAGCTACGTAAACAATTATAATAGTGAGCAAAAGAGCTAGTGCTTAAGAATACAAATGATCCCACTAAGGTACAGTTAAAAAATGAAACCATGGATTAATTAGGGACACACACATGCTCACAGTCTAAAGAAAAGCAAGGCAATGAGTCATGATGCTCAGGACAGTGGCAGGCAGTGAGTATGGTTGATAAAGACAATGCTATCTTACGGCACTTCCCACATTCATTTAAACCAAAAATGTTCTTTTCTATACCTTTGGTTTGATTAAAGGGCTAAAACTGTGAGAATAAAGAAGAGTTTCTCTGAATAACACAGTATCATTTGGGTAAGTTTTAAGTAGAAAAAGGACTTAAATTTTTATTCACTGGCTTACCTTTCCTCAGTAAGATAAATCACTTAATTTTATCCCCAAAAATGCGTGACTTAGAAATAAAATTCCTCTTAGATTTGATTAATGCAACATAGAAAATCATTCTTCCTTGCAAAGATTTGATCACTGGCATGTAAAAACAAAACAGCATGCAAAAGAGATTTACAGAAAGATTCTACAGGGTGAGAAGAGGCTTCTTTCAAGTAATATGAAGCACGAGAAAGTGACTGTAGTCTAACTGCTGCAATTGCTCATTCCTCTTCACTGTTGGGAATAATCACGGAACCAGAGATTGAGATGGAAAGAATATTAGATGTTGGTCCCACATTTTCACATTTTGCTAATTAGGAATGAAACTCCAAGGCAACAGTTTTGAAGAATATTGAGCAGGAAATTCAGATCTGAGAAAGCTTTGATGACAAGATAGATAAATGTAATGTGCAGTCTTGACATTTGCAATGGAAAAATGGTATTCAAAAAAGAAGTAAGTATAAAAAATTTTGGACTAGAAGATAGGAAAAAACAAGAGCAAACCCCAAAACCCTTGCATCCCATTAGGTCTGCTTTCTTTATAACCATGAACACTCTGTTAAACTATGCTAAAAATGTAGAGAATGAATACTTACATGTTTTCTTTCTGTAGCCTTTAGAGATTTGGCAGCATAGTAAAAAAGCTGTGTCCCACACAAAGCTGCCCAATATTTTGTCCAAGATGCTACCTGGATAGGACGAACACATGAGTATACTATTAAAATGCTCCTGGCTTATTAGCTGCTTTATATTTTAAGTGCCAATGATCAAGTTCACTTGAACCGAAGCCTTAACCTCAGAGTTGAACTGTGTCACTTCTGAAATCTTAATCTCAAATACTACTGTCACTTCTATATAACTACCTACCTATTTGTAGAACCACATACTCAGTCATTCTTCCTCCTACAACAGGTTAACCCTGATGCTATCTGAAGACAAACTCGACTCTCTTTTTATGCCCAAGATTCCAACTATCTCTCACTTTCTTAAGAAGTATGCTTTTGCAATTAACTCCACTGCTTCTCAGTATCTCTCCCTCTACCATCATTACACAAATGAACGTTAATAGTACTCCCACCTTTAAAATTCCTCCTTTGACTCATCTCCTCAACTCCCAGACACCAACCAATTTCTTGCTCCTTTTCTCAGCATAACAGCATGGGTGTCTCCAAATCTTGCCTCAGCGTCTTCTGTTTTGCCCATTTTCTACTCAACTCACTTCATTTGGCTTTTGGGGCATCAAGGTCACTGATGACTGTAACTTTAGCAAAGCCTCTGCCCTTATCATCGTCAGACTCTTAGCAGCATCTGACCCAGCTAGCCACTCTTTTCTTTTTGAAGTACTGTAACTGCTAGGCTTCTGGGATAACAGTTCTTTAGTTTTCCTTTATACTCTTCTTTACGGGAGACCTTTAATACTACAGAGCCCTATCTCCAGTCTTGTTTTCTTCTCTAGCTATAGACTTTCTTCTTAATCTATCATCCTGTTCCATATTTCAGATACTCTCTATCTGTAGGCTAATGACTCCCAGATCTCTCTCCCTGCCACCTCTCTGCTGACCTCATGATCCATACTTTTTCAAGGGCCACAATGACACCTCCACTTGAATGTTATAATTAATAAGTATATCAAACTGAAGTTGGCCAAGACTGACCTGCCCCCCATTTCAATAAATGTTCCCAACATCAACCCACCTCAGTCCCCAAACCAAGAAGTTATCTTCGTTTTCTCTCTATTATACATCACATTTATCATCAAACAACTCTAGCTTTTAGCTCTTATCCCCTTCGCCTTCACCAATTTCAATGCTTAACCTATACAAGCCCTCCTGTCTCCTGAACTCTACATGTTCTCACAGCTAACTCAACTTCCTCAATCAGATCTCAGCTCAAACGTCTTGCCACGGAGGGATTCCTCTTTGGCCCATCATTCCTCATTCTGTGACCTTATTTCAAAGCCTTATTCTCTATTTCTCCTCACTGGAACGTAACCCAGGAGAAAGGCACTTTGCCTCACCTCGTTCACTGCTCTATTTCTAGCATCTGGCACACAAAAGGTATGGTGATGCTTCACCTGACATGCAATTCTGAGTTCACTAGCCCACCTAAGAGCTTCTTGATTGTATATGCCTTTGGCTGTGATATAAGCAGCAAAATAAAATTACTTATTTGAAACCCCCATATCATCAAAAGCCTAAGCGTGGATATATGTCAGAGGTTTTAAATTTCGAATTCGAGAAAGGGAAAAAAATTGTTCCTTAGTAGTCAAACTACTATGCTGGTGTGAGGAAGAATAAACTTCTCTGATACATAAAAAGAGCTTTGTTATACCAATCTTCCTTCCCCACCCCTACCCATATAGTTATGGTCTGGTAAACGTTTAATATTTGGGTTCTATTTTATATAGAAAACAAAACTGAATTACAGAAATTTAAATAAAATAAAACACAATCAGATTCCACTTTTTAGAGTTGTTATTCTTTGTTTTCTATTTTACCTAAACTTTAATACTAAAGTATTTCTTAATGATATACTTTCAGGATTCTCTAAGAAACAATTTTGTATAAGAACTATAAAAGGAGGTTAAAAAAAAAAAAAGTACCCGGATTTAAGCACCCTTAACATACAATTTAACAGAAATCTATATGGCACATACAATAACACTTTAAGAAAATATGGTGAGGCAAATGTGTACAGTAGTTTCCCTCTTATCTGTGGTTTCAGTTACCCACAGGCAACCACAGTCTAAAAACATTTATTGGAAAATTTGAGAAATAAACAATTCACAGGTTTTAAAATCATGTGTTGTTCTGAGTAGTGTGATAAAATCTCACACAGTTCTGATCTGTCCTTCTGTGGACATAATCATCTCTTTCTGCATCCAGCACCTCCACATTATGTGTGTTATCCTTGTGCCCCACTCCCCACTGCTTCCTTAAGTGAAAAAGAAAAGTTCTTGATTTAGGGAAGAAAAATTTGATGCTAAGGTTGCTAAGATCCGTGATAAGCATAATTTTTCTATCTGTGAAATTGTGAAGAAGGAAAAAGAAATTCATGCTAGTTTTGTTATTGCACCTCAAACTGCCAATGTTACAGCTACTGTGTAGGGTTAAGAGCTTAGTTAAGATAGAAAAGGTATTAAATTTGTGGATGGAAGACATGAATAGAACCATGTTCCAGTTGATGGTAATTTGGTACGGTACTATCTGAGGTTTCAGTCATCCCCTGGGGGGTCTTGGAATGGATCACCCAAGGATAAGGGGGAAGGACCTTATGTTACATTATTTCAAGTCTACTATAATCAGGTTTTATTTTAATTGTTTTAGTACTTTCCGGGGTCTTATACATTGGCATATTTTGACAGCTATATTAAAATATAATATGATGAAATCTTACTGCAGGCTTTTTGCCTTCTTTTAACAAAGTTTTTCTCCTGAGAACACCTTGAATAGTAACAGCTCCCGGATATAAATGTACTGCTAAATCTTCCGATTCTGCAGAGCTATAATAATGAAGAAAAGAACACATGAGAGGTTTTGCCTGTAACAGTCATCAAGTAGGTACTTAAATAAAATGTAATTACTCTCAATTTGAAAACTTTGTTACTTTATTCAGAGCTGAGAAGACATTGACAATTTTAAAGTTTTATTAATCTTGAAATTTATAAGCTGTCACAAAAGTTAATTACAAAGTTATTACAGTCAGCAGATGGTTAAAAATCACACTTTATTATGTATTTGAACAAGTATAATTTAGAAAGAATGCAGTAATTCACTTTAGTAAAAATCAAATTAACAGTTTAAGATTTGTTTTCTTTTTAACATGTCATACTGAATCACTGTTGTAACCTTATTTTCCCCATTAGAAACTTTAAGTCCTGGTAGGAAAAATGAGGATTCTATTTGTTAAAAGTATTTAAGTATATATAAAACTGAAAATAAAAATAGAAGCTCAAAAAGAAAAAAAGAAAACTCATGCTTAATTTAATTCTAAAATAGCAGAAAGAAGTAATAAAGTCAATAATAATACATTTACACAACAAGCTTTCTGCAATACATTTTAATAACATTTAAATGGTATCAGTGCATAAGTGATTATGGCCTAATAACTCTCCACGAAAGGAAAAAACCCAAAATTCAAAATTTCCTTTCCATGTATCTTTAAAAAAACCATCACAAAATAAGCAACACTTTAATATCTTTCCCTAATTAAGGTCCTATATTTAATACAATAATGGTTTCTATGTGCGCCAATTAAACATACACGTTGATAAAAACGTCACTGGTGACTTGATATGAGCTGCAGAATTCCTATAAGAACAATGAAAAATGAAGTTTGCCAGTTTATTCCTTTGTGATTATTTAGGTGTCTTCAAAGTGACTTAAAAAACCCTACAAGCCAGTAGAAATTTCATGCTAAAGCTATTTATATTCAGGGAGGTATACTCAGAGAGATTAGACACCATCAAACTGATGTAAAGTTTGCTTCTCAAGTTTGGTATTTTGTTGTGTTATAAATTGGTTGATTACCCATTAGCATTAAACCCTACCTTCCCAGTCAATACACCATCCTTATCTGCCTCTATAGCTAGTACAGTGCAAAAAGAAACCTGGTTTAACTACATGAACAACTGAACGAATACAAGTTTAAATATGCAAATTATTATTTTATGAAATAGACTTGTCTACATTCAGGACCTGCAGTTTATCTGAAAAGTTTTTAAAAAGACAAATCAAATATAAATTTATTAGCAAAGTAAATGCTTTGATTACAACATATGAATAACAAGCAGATTTTTATATCACTCAATAACCATCAGCAACAGAAAGACTGGTGCAGTTTAAAGACTACCAACTTGGAAGCATTTTAAAATATGCCATGTTAAGATGCAAGTTTTGACACTTAGCTCTGTGGATCAGAAAGAATAGTTGAAAATTATCTTCACATTAGATCTTGAAAAGAAAGGTTTTCTGGGTAATTTGTTTAGTTTTAAAATCAGTTAGTTGAGAAAGAAGAGAAATAATGTCAGACCACACCCATGTAAGCCAATCACCAACACCATAAGGGAGTTCTGTGACTCCTGAATGCAGGGGAATTGTACCTGCTGGCCTTCATGTGACTTCGATAGCCATTTCGTGCCACTCTTGTCACCGGGCCCAGAGAATGGTATAATCTGTTCCTGTTGGATTCCATTATAAATCGTATATATTACATATACTTTTATTCACACAGTCATCATCAATACCTAGAACAGTATAATAGTTTCTTCTTGTAACATAGCTTTCTAAATCTTACAAAAGGATAGTATGTGATTGTTCCTCTTTCTGTTTTAAAGCATGCAAGCAACAGATTTCAAAATTTTTTTCTTTTACTAATGACTTTAAATACTTAGAGGTATTTGGTACACACCATATATTTATATATACATTCACTTTCACAAATTTGCTAGAGGAATTAAAGAGCTCTTTATAGCCAAATAATAATTTTTAAAAAACCTGAAAAATACTTCAAAAATTTTTATGTTTATATACCATTTCTTGAATTCCATTTTAAATATCATGCCTGGATTTATAATAGTAATTCATTTTTATTATATGTCCCTATGAAGACACCTAAAAGCAATGTGGCTTGAAAACTTAAAACTAATGAGGAAAACTTTATTTTCCTCTTTATCCTTTACAGTAAGTTAAAAAAAAAAAACCCCAAAACTAATAAAAGAAATGAATTGAGTAAAATAGGCATTATGTTATTTCTACATTAACTGACAAAGCCAATAAATGATAAAAATGATAAGTTAATACTTATCCAAAATGACACATTAATAGTTAAAAAACAACAACAACAAAAAAAACCAGACACATAAAAACGCTGATACTTCTTTGCCTAGGAAAAATGATATTTAAAAGAAAAAGCATTATTTTAACAACTTAACAACGCATTTGATGTCTGTCTAGAAAACTAACAACAGAAAATGGTATGTTAATATTCAGAGTACTATGTTCAAGTTCACTATTCATGAGTAGTACTTTAAATCCTAGTTCCTTATTCACTTTCTATTATTTCATGTTTGAATCTTGCTGGGCAGTATTCATTTCATTGTTCTCAAAATGTTCCAAGAGCCCGCTAATTTAAACTTGGCATGGGAAAAGTAGATTTTTTAGCTGCAAATGTCTGTAAAGCAAAACATTTGTTATAAAGAGAAAAATTGTTTTCAGACGTGAAGGTAATGCCATTAAACACTGTCTTCATAAGTAACCTGCTGGGAGGAGAACAGATTATTTAACACAAATAATTCTGGTTATTCACAATTCAAGCGATCTAAGAAACTATTTGGTTAATCAATATTTTTTAAATCTAAAGATTACAATACACTTAGATAACTTCTGATGGTATTACGTTCTTTCTAGAAGAAAAGACAATTCAAAAATCCAGACAACGTGTCAAAGGCAATTCTTGTGTTTTTCACATTTCAGGCAAACCCAAATGAACAGATTAAAAGTAAAGGTTGGAAGAAAAATAATACACAAATAAATAAAAACAATTTTTTACTTATTATTATCCCCAAAAACAAAGAGAACAGAAGTTGGAATCACTGACAGACAAGAAAGAATCATAAGTACTTTGCAATGTAAAACTTATAAATAAAATCTTACTCACCTAAAAGTAAGAAATCTTTATGAAGTTACATAAGAAATAAGAATCTATTTTTCCAATTAAACAGCATGACATTAATTCAAATAAAATTTAAAACTGTTTTCTAAAAGTGACTGATACGGAGTTAGGCAACTAAATATTTTCTACATCAGTATTAGCATGATATTTAACATTCAATTCAAATGATGTTCTTGTTGAATAATCAATACAGGCATTTATAGAAACTCAGTTACTTAGTTCAGATACAAAAGGGAGTGATCATTTTGGTCAAGAGCCAAATAACTCATGAGTCCAAAACGGCAGAACTGAAATGGCCAGAGAAAACTAAGAATCCTAAAGGACATTTAGGCTGGGTGTGGTGGCTCACACTTGTAATCTCAGCACTTTGGGAGGCTGAGGCAGGTGGATCACCTGAGGTCAGGAGTTCAAGACCAGCCTGGCTAACAGGGTGGAAACCCGACTCTAAAAAAATAAAAAGAATCCTAAAGGACATTTAATAAATAATTATTTGCATTGTTTGATCACATTCTTCAGATCTTATATATACTTGGAGCTCAATATACCATGATATTTGCTACAGGCAGATGACAGCTTTTATAGCTTAAAGTAACAAAGGAAGGAGAAGGAAGCACAGCTTACAGTATTTGAGTATAAATGTGTACTCTGAAAATTTTGAATTATGACAATTTAAATTCGAACCTTAACTTGCTTTACTTGTATAATTTAAAGTTTATTAAATCATTTTGTCCTTGACAAAGTAGCAGAGAATAAAGTTGACCATTCCACTAAATGCCTTAAAATTACTTAAATGAATCAGAACTTGAGGAAATAATTTTTTGAATAGTTTACTTGTCTATCACTGATTATTTTTAAGCTACAATTTTAAATGTACTAAAATTCAAATACATGTGTCACGCCACCAAATAAACATTTAGAGAGAAGATTATCATTCATTCTCATTACTTACATATCCAAACTTAAATATCAACTTCTGATTTATTTTAACAGCAGCAAACTTAAATAATCCCTTAGGGATATGTAGTAAATATTAACTCTTAAAATTTTTATTATCATATTATTTATCACAGACAAAATAAACTTAAAGCAGTTCAAATGGAAAATTTACCTTACCTTTCAAAAGCAGGCCATGAGGTCTCTTCACTTAGTTCAGAACCATCACTGCTACCTAGAATGAAAAGTTATTCTATTTTTTAAACATCAGAATTATCTCTCTACTTTGCATTTCACAATTTAAAAATAAATTCATTAACTATGCTTATAAAATGACAATCACACTGTGGGTAAACATATTCACATATTATTTATTCTAGTATTACTGCTGTTAGTTTTTTTTTTGCAATATATCGGAATATAGTTGACATGACAACCTAAAATAACAAAATAGCATAAAACATTTTTGCATGTCTACTTGCAGTTGAAATTCATTATGTCAACAAACAATTTTTCCTATCATTAGAGAAGATAAAATAACGCAAAACTTCTTTTTAGGTTTATCATAATTTGGGACCAATATATTTATAAAATCCTTGGAGATTCATGGCATACTTCTTTCTCTTTGTGTTAAAGTCCATTACTAATTATCCTAAGTATAAAAATCCTAATAAAATCCAATTCTTTGTCTCTAGAGACAAGATTAAAGAGGATGGAGTCTCTAAATTAAAAAAAAAAACTGGTGCTATAAAAATGTAACAATTTTCTCTTTTGCTGAAAGATCAGTTAAAATAAAATGGTCTTCAAATAGAACATTTAAAATTAGTTGGGGAAAACAAAAAACTATGAGGAATAAATTTAGAGTCTAAAACAGCTTAGTTGACCTAAATATGTTACTTTAAAGATAATTCTGACTCTTAATAAAATTAGGATAACTAATAGGTCAAGTTAAACTGTCTATCAAGCAGGGTTCTACGAGAGACTCAAACTCTAATGCTGTAAGGTTTCCATCAGATACCTGTAATGGATGCTGTAAGGCAGGCATCCCCAAACTATGGCCCGTGGGCTGCATGCGGCCCCCTGAGGCCATTTATCCGGCCCCCTGCCGCACTTCAGGAAGGGGCACCTCTTTCATTGGTGATCAGTGAGAGGAGCACAGTATGTGGCCGCCCTCCAACGGTCTCGGGGACAGTGAACTGGCCCCCTGTGTAAAAAGTTTGGAGACGCCTGCTGTAAGGTATCTGTTAGTCTCATCTCTCTTAGAGACAATGGATTAATACCTTTTTTATGGGTTTGCAATGGCACTACTTATGTGCCATCCTTGGATAACTTGGGGTAACAGTCACTGAAATAATTTTCTGTATTGTACGGTTCAGAAGAAGAACCAGAGGTAACCTGTGGTAGTGGTAGGGTCTTGTACATTATCTACATTATCTTTAATCTGTGGCATTATGTGGTAAAAACTGAAAATTTAAGCGTAATTACTATAACTCATTTGTAGAAAATGTAAGCACGAAACTCAGAGTGAATATCCCTTAGTTATTGGCTAGGTGAGACTACTCAAGATTATCTAGAATAGACACTACATTAAAAAATGTTTGAGGCCATTGTTCTTAAGCACTGGTTAATTTTCCCACAGTATTTTCCAAGCCTTCACCATAGATAAATATTGCATGTAGGAGTTAAACTAAAGAAAAACTTGTGTGTGTATACTAACACCTATCATCTTACGGTAATACACTCATTCTTTTTTCATACTGTTAAAGCTTTAAAACAAAAATCCTCGAAGGTAAATGCCTATGTGTAATGGTCTTAATTTACAAACTAGGATGCAACAATCTCTTACTGTTTACCTACTTTGCCTTAGAATAATTAAAACACATACACAAATGCAAAAATCTGCTCTAAAAGAGAAAAGTCTTCACTCTGAGACACTAATTGTAACTCAGTAAAAGAACTAGACAACTATCTTGTGGTAAAAGGACATCTACGAAAAGTAAAAGCTATAAACTCCAGAATAATTTTCATTATAACACTCACGATGGGAAAGAGTCAAATAGTATACACCTGGGAACTGTAATTTTAAAAATTACTTTTTGTTTTAAGTGGCATGCCAAATTCTGTATGTGTAGCAAATTTTTGACTGAAAAAAGTTCTTCCTTTGCAAAATTATTCTTCAGACTGAGATTAGTATTTGCATATACGCAACTTAGAACATTAATAAGAGGGATTTCAGGTGATAAACTTACCTTCTTTTTAAAAAATTTTATCATTTAATCATTTGCATTTATAAAAAGGGGACTATCAGAATAAACAACTGCTGAATGGTAATGGAGAGCTCTGAAATAATTTCATTTTAACTCTCAAGGGCTAAGGAAGTCAGCATGTTCAAGAAAAAGAAATCTCCTTTTGCATTTCTTTCTATTAGCTGTTCACCAATATTGATTGAGATATCAGTAATAATAGGGTTAGCCCTTGAACAATCTGGTACTTACTCACAGATGAAGACATTATTCCTCCTTTATTTATTTTTAAAAATAAAAGGAGCTAGTGTATGAGTAATTTCTTTTTTCTTTTTTTTTTTAAGGCAGAATCTCACTCTATGGTCCAGGTTGGGTAGTGCAGTGGTGTGAACATGGCTCACTGCAACCTCTGCCTTCTGGGTTCAAGTGATTCTTGTGCTTCAGCCTCCCAAGTAGCTGGGATTACAGGCATGCACCATCATTCCCCACTAATTGTCATATTTTTAGTAGCGATGGGGTTTTGTCATGTTGGCCAGACTCATTTTGAGCTTCTGACCTCAAGAGATGGGCCCAGTTGGGCTTCCCAAAGTGCTGGGATTACAGGTGTGGGCCACCCTGCCCGGCCTGTATGAATAATTTCTAATTGTAAAAAGAAATAATGCTCATCTAGAAGACGAAAAAAATAAAAGTTTAGGAAGTAAAAACAAATCCCTCTATAAATCTCACATCCCTTTCCAACATAGTCCCAATTTTCTGCTCTCCTTCACAGTAGCTATCTCTGTTTCCTCACTTCTCATTTTCACATCTATTCCAATCCAGGCCTTGCCCTGAAATCTCATTGAAGTAACTCTTGACAAGGTCACCAATAACTTTTATCTGGCCAAATCTCTCAGTCAATCCCCCATTCTCATCTGAGCTCTCTTGCATTTGATATTGACACATTCAACATTTTCCTCCTCCTTGAGATATTTCATCTACTGGGCTTTTGTGTATTTTTCTCCCTACTTCATTGATCTCTCCTTTTTAATTTCCTTTGATGACCCACCCTTCTTTTAAAAAATAATTTAATCAGGCCAAGTACGGTGTCTCACACCTGTAATCCCAGGACTTTGGGAGGCCGAGGCAGGCAGATCACGAGCTCAGGAGATGGAAACCATTCTGGCTAACACGGTGAAACCCCGTCTCTACTAAAAATACAAAAAATTAGCCAGGCATGGTGGCACGTGCCTATAATCCCAGGTACTTGGGAGGCTGAGGCACAAGAATCACTTGAGCCCAGGAGGCAGAGGTTGCAGTAAGCCGAGATGGTGCCACTGTACTCCAGCCTGGGCAACAGAGCAAGACTCTGTCTCAAAAAATAAATAAATAAATAAAATAAAAACAGTGAGCTGAGATTGTGCCACTGCACTCCAGCCTGAGTGAAAGAGCAAGACTATCTGAAAACAAAACAAAACAAAACAAAACAAAACAAAACAAAACAAAACAAAAAAAACGGACCTGGCAAGATGGCTGAATAGGAATAGCTCCGGTCTGCAGCTCTCAGCAAGATGAATGCAGAAAGCGGGAGATTTCTGTATTTTCAACTGAGGTACTTGGCTCATCTCACTGGGACTGGTTAGACAGTGGGTACAGACTACAGAGGGCGAGCTGAAGCAGGGTGGGACATCTCCTCACCTGGGAAGCGCAAGAGGTTGGGGAACTCTCTGGGGAAGCCGTGAGGAACTGTTCTATGAGGAATGGTGCAACCTGGCTCAGATACTAAACTTCTGCCACAGTCTTTGCAACCTGCAGACCAGATTCCCTCTGGTGCCTGTACCACCAGGACCCTGGGTTTCAAGCTTAAAACTGGGAGGCTGTTTGGGCAGACACTGAGATAGCTGCAGGAGTTTTTTTTCATGCCCCAGTGGAACCTAGAATGCCAGTGAGACAGAACCTTTCACTCCCCTGGAAAGGGGGCTGAAGCCAGGGAGCCAAGTGGTCTAGCTCAGTGGATTCCACTTCTACGGAGCCCAGCAAGCCAAGATCCACTGGATTGAAATTCTCGCTGTAGGCACAGCAGTCTGAAGTCGACCTGGGATGCCTGAAGCTTGCTGGGGGAAGGGGCGTCCACCATTATTAGACTTGAATAGGTGGTTTTTCCCTCATAGTGTAAACAAAGCTGGAGGGAAGCTCCAACTGGGTGGAGCCTTCTGCAGCTCAGCAAAGCGGCTGTATTCAGACTGTCTCTAGATTCCTCCTCTCTAGGCAGGGAACCTCTAGCCAGACTAATAAAGAGAAAAGAATCAAATAGATGCAAAAAAAAAAAAAAAAAAAAGATAATGGGGATTATTACCACTGATCCCACAGAAATACAAACTACCATCAGAGAATGCTATAAACACCTCTATGCAAATAAAGTGGAAAATCTAGAAGAAATGAATAAATTCCTAGAAACATAGATACTCCCAAGTCTAAACCAGGAAGAGGTCAAATCCCTGAATAGATTAATAACAAGTTCTGAAATTGAGGCAGTAATTAATACCCTACCAACCAAAAAAAAAAAAAAAAAAAAAAAAAAGCCCAAGACCAGATGGATTCACAGCCAACTTCTACCAGAGGTACAAAGAGGAACTGGTACCATTCATTCTGAAACTATTCTAAATAATAGAAAAGGCGAGACACTTCTCTAACTCATTTTATAACTCCAGCATCCTGGTACTAAAACCTGGCAGAGACACACACACAAAAGAAAATTTCAGGCCAAAATCTCTGATGAACATCGACGCAAAAATCCTCAATAAAATATTTGCAAACCGAATCCAGCAGCACATCAAAAGCTTATCTACCACGATCAAGCTGGCTTCATTCCTGGGATTCAAGGCTGGTTCAACATACACAAATCAATAAATGTAATCCATCACATAAACAGAACCAATGACAAAAACTACATGATTATTTCAATAGATGCAGAAAGGCCTTTGATATAATTCAACACCCTTTCAACAAACTAGGTATTGATGGAATGTATCTCAAATTAATAAGAGCTATTTATGACCAACTCATGGCCAATACCATACTGAATGGGCAAAAACTGGAAGCATTCCCTTTGAAAACTGACACAAGACAAGGATGCCCTCTCTCAACACTTCTATTCAAGATACTATTGGAAGTTCTGGCCAGGAAAATCAGGAAAGAGAAAGAAATAAAGGGTATTCAAATAGGAAGAGAGGAAGTCAAATTATCTCTGTTTGCAGATGACATGACAGTATATTTAGAAAACCCCATTGTCTCAACCCAAAATCTCCTTAAGCTGATAAGCAACTTCAGCAAAATCTCAGGATACAAAATCAATGTGCAGAAATCACAGGCATTTCTATACACCAATAACAAACCAGCAGACAACCAAATCATGAGTGATCTCCCACGCACAATCACTACAAAGAGAATAAAATACCTAGGAATACAACTTAAGAGGGATGTGAAGGACCTCTTCAAGGAGAACTACAAACCACTGCTCAAGGGAATCAGAGAGGACATAAACAAATGGAAAAACATTCCATGCTCATGGATAGGAAGAATCAATATCGTGAAAATGGCCATGCTGCCCAAAGTAATTTACAGATTCAATGCTATCCCCATCAAGCTACCAGTGACTCTCTTCAAAGAACTAGAAAAAAACTACTTTAAATATCATATGGAACCAAAAAAAGAGCCCGCGTAGCCAAGACAATCCTAAGCAAAAAGAACAAAGCTGGAGGCATCACACTACTGACTTCAAAGTATACTACAAGGCTACAGTAACCAAAACAGCATGGTATTGGTACCGAAACAGATATATAGACCAATGGAACAGAACAGAGGCCTCAGAAATAACACCACACATCTACAACCATCTGATATTTGACAAACCTGACAAAAACAAGCAATGGGGAAAGGATTCCCTACTTAATAAATAGTGTTGGAAAAACTGGCTAGCCATATGCAGAAAACTGAAACAATCCCTTCCTTACACCTTATACAAAAATTAACTACAGATGGATTAAAGACTTAAATGTGAGACCTAAAACCCATAAAAATTCTAGAAGAAAACCTAGGCAATATCATTTAGGATGTAAGTATGAGCAAAGACTTAAAGCAATGGCAACAAAAGCCAAAATTGACAAATGGGATATAATTAAAGTCAAGAGCCGTGTAAAGAGCCTTTGCACAGCAAAAGAAACTATCATCCAAGTGAACAGGCAATCTATAAATGGGAAAAGTTTTGCAATCTATCCAACTGACAATAACCAGAATCTACAAAGAACTCAAACAAATTTACAAGAAAAAAAAAACCACATCAAAAAATGAGCAAAGGATACAAACAGACACTTCTCAAAAGAAGACATTTATGCGGCCAATAAATATGAAAGCTCGTCATCACTGGTCATTAGAGAAATGCAAATCAAAACCACAATGAGATACCATCTCATGCCAGTTAGAATGGCAATAATTAAAAAGTCAGGAAACAACAGATGCTAGCGAGGATGTAGAGAAATAGGAATACTTTCACACTGTGGGTGGGAGTGTAAATCATTTCAACCACTGTGGAAGACAGTGTGGTGCTTCCTCAAAGATCTAGAACCAGAAATATCATTTGACCCAGCAATCTCATTAATGGGTATATACCCAAAGGATTATAAAACATTCTACTATAAACACACATGCACATGTACATTTATTGTGGCACTGTTCACAATAGCAAAGACTTAGAACCAACCCAAATGCCCATGAATAATAGACTGGATAAAGAAAACATGGCACATATACATCATGGAATATTATGCAGCCATAAAAAAGGATGAGTTGATGTCCTTTGCAGGGACATGGATGAAGCTGGAAACCATCATTCTCAGCAAACTAACACAAAAACAGAAAAAACATTGCATGTTCTCACTCATAAGTGGGAATTGAACAATGAGAACACATAGACACAAGGAGGGGAACATCACACACTGGGCCTCGTTGGGGGATGGAGGGCTAGGGGAGGGACAGAATTAGGGGAAATTCCTAATGTAGATAATGGGTTGATGGGTGCAGCAAATCGCCAGGGCATGTGTATACCTATGTAACAAACCTGCAGGTTCTACACATGTACCCCAGAACTTAAAGTATATTTAAAAAAAAAAAAAAAAAAAAAAAAGGTTTTGCCAGGGCAGATAGAAATTTAAGGAGGAAATTTAGAGAGAATTTTGTTTTGGGTTTATGTTTTTAGAGGCATATTAGACATACATGTGAGATGGCAAGTCAGCAGAAAGTAATCGTGAATCAATTTAATATTCTTATGAAACTGCCAAGTTAAATTTGTTTCAAAATGTAATCCTCAGGCTGGGCCAGTGGCTCAAGCCTTTAAGCCCAGCACTTTGGGAGGTCGAGGTAGGCAGATCACCTGAGGTTGGGAGTTTGAGACCAGCCTGACCAACATGGAGAAACCCTGTCTCTATTAAAAATACAAATAAAATCAGCTGGGCATGGTTGTGCATGCCTGTAATCCTAGTTACTCGGGAGGCTGAGGCAGGAGAATTGTCTGAATGTGGGAGTCGGAGGTTGCAGTGAGCCAAGATTGGGCCATTGCACTCCAGCCTGGGCAACAAGATTGAAACATCGTCTCAAAAAAAAATAAAAAAATAAAGTAATCCTCAATAATAAAAGATTGATATGCAGATAATAATAATAATTTAATCAGACTTCTAAATGTGAGAATATTTTCTTCTCATTTATGTACACTCTCTCTTTAGGTACTCTCAACCAAGCATGGCTTATAAATATGCTACTTCTCATATATCTTCAGACCTGACCTTACCCCACAGAACTCCAGATTCGTATATTCAAAAACCTACCTGACATCTCCATAGAACATGTCCAAAACAGAACTGATTTCTCAAACTCAGTCCCCTTCACAAACACTTCCCTGCCCACAGATGATTAGTCTTCATCTTTCCTTCCTTGGTAATAGCATCATCATCTAACTATCATACTATCATATATCCAAATAACCTGAAGTCATCCTTGACCCCACACTCTTCCTCCTCACCATATCCAAATCACATGCAGTTAACTAATTCAACCACCCCATATATTCTGTTTCCACTTTCTTCAAATGCTTCCCCTTCTGGAGTTAAAAACAGCAAGCACCTTTAAAACCATCACAAATTATTAACTTCATCCTGTATTTAACCACTACTTTGTTTTTTAACCAAATTTTTGCTATGTGTGGTGGGGTTAATTTTTCTCCAGCCAATTAAAAAAAATTTAAATTGCAACCCTTTCAGAGAAGTTTTTCTTACCTATTGATATTCCACTAGAAAGAGTAGAACTTTCAGCTTGGCCTCGAGATGGTGCATGGGGCTCCATGACACTATCATCTAACAGATGCCTTGGCCCTGCATTTGGAAACGTTGCACTCTTAAATTCTGCTGTGTTCATTTTATGAATGAAACTGGAAACAAGGAGAAAAAAAAGGTTCTTATCTTTTATTATTATTACTAATTTAGAATATAAAAACTGCTCTTAAAGATTTAGGATATAAGGGATTTACCTGCTGTCATACTGAGATCTCACCATAAAAGCCTCAAACTAACAGTTTAGGGAAAATGTTTTAGGAAACCTGGCTGTATCTATATAATTAGAGCATACTTTAAAATATTTTCATTTTTAGCCTCATGTCCGTTAAAAAATTGTTTCCACATTCACTTTTGGATAATAGTTATTAAATTTCCAGAAAAATCATGGCAAAAGTGAACATGTGTCCCCATTTTGAAAAAAAGAATACTGTAAAAACTAATGAAGTTAAAAGTCAGTTTTCTTTAGGAATAAAGAAAATAATTTTTATAACTCTTAATTTATGACTGATTTTGGTTAAGACAAACAATGTCTTGATATAAAGGCTGTAATTTTTAAAAAAGGTATACTGCTATCCTGATTTTCTTTATGATGGTCCTCTATAATTTTCATTTATCGTCTCCAAATATAAATGCACTGTTGACAAAATCCCATTTCCAAATTCAGGTAATAAGAAATGAAAGCGTTTAGGCAAACAAGATATTTTACTGAATCAAAAAAAGGTTGTTAAGAAAAAAGAAAACTATTCAAGGATACCATTTTCTGCAGAACTAATAAATAGATAATAAACCCAACTACAAACAACTTAAAAATGTGAAAGATAAAATTAAAAATGCTGACTTATAACCCAAGCTATGGCACTTCCTATGTCCATGTGGAATCAGATTCCGAGGGGATGGGGGTGTTTGTGGGAGCAAGGCTCCTTCAGCTGCCACACTTTTTCGTCCACTCTGTGGAGATGCTCCTACTTCAGGACCTAAGGGTTAAATGTAAAGAGAAAGAGATTTTCAAATGATTTCATATGATTAATTTATTTTTCAATCCCTTGATATAAAATACTAAATGTGGTTCAAATTTTGAGAGTACTGTTAGTTTTATTTAACTGACTTGAAGATGAGAAATATATTCCAAGTCCTAAAACACAAAATCCCAAACCAAACAGAATCCATTCATTTTTATCTTACTTATACTAAGTAGAGGCAGTGTAAATATTTTCTCCATTACATAAGCAGCAGCAGAATTAAAAGAGATCAGCTTTCAGATCACAGACAAAATCTGGACTCAACACCCAGGTCTCCTGAGTCCTAGGTTCAGTGCTCTTTTAATTTTATACATTACTTTTGTGTTCCTAGTTTCAACTTCCTCTTAAAGAATGTGTAGGCTAGGTCAAACACTCAAATTAGAAATTAAATCCATTACTGACATTGTTCGGGCTTATGGGAATGAATAACAATATTATTAAAGTGCAAAATAGCACTTTAAGAATAAAAAGAAAAGCAAATTTAAGAAATTTAAAATAAAATGTTTTTTTCTGCTTGGAATATTCTTCCCCATAGGTATTGTCATGGTTTGTTTTTTCACTTCTTCCCATCTTATTAGACGAGTTGTCAAATACTTTTAGAAAATACATGAAACTTAGTGCGAAGGCTTGTACTGGGAATTTTTAAAAAGGTACCTAAAAAGGTACCAGTGATTTCTTAAATAATGAGCAATTCTCTTTATGTTGTTTCAAAAATTATTTGTGGTATACACATAATATTCCCATTATAATGTAACAGGTAAAGGAAGAAACTATGATTTTTATATTTTTAGTACTTGGTCCAGTATTAAAGTCAACATTAAAAAAAATCATGCCATTAAAAATAACTTCTACTAATTAAATTAAGTAGAATTTCCCCTTAGACCACAGAAATTTCTAGTATAATCAACCTTCACTGCCCAGGACAATGCATTCTTAATTAAAAATGAATATCCATAAGTACTTGTCTATTATTTTCCACCTGTTACATCTATTTTCCTTGATCAGGTAGCATATTTGTTTGTACACTACTGACAAACCATAGCAACTTTTAAATTAAAAAACAAAAAATCCATAAAGGACTGATAGATTTTAATATCAAAATAAATTTTATGTGCAGTATAAGATGTACTAAGTTTTTATTTATTTTGGAGTATATTCTTCCTCATTAGGTTATCTGATGTAGATTTAGTAACGAACTATGTACTAACCTACTAAATCTTCCCTGGAAGCAGCAGAACGTGGGGTGCTTGTCCCTGGTTCTATCTTTAATGAAAGCCTGAATTTTAAAAAGACAAAATACATACCACGATTAATTAACATTCGATGAAACAAGATTAAAGTTGTGTATTTTCTCACAAAAAACTAAAAACAACTTTAATGAAATAATCTGACCTATATATTTTTCTGCAAGAGAAATCTTCCTTTAAAGACAGGGAATCTCACTTAAGGCTCAAACTTATGGGCTCAGGTGATCCTTCCACCTTGGCTTCCCAGAGTGCTGGGATTACGGGCACGGAGCCACCAAGCCTGGCGAAGAGCAACTTCTTTTTTTTTTTTTGAGATGGAGTCTCACTCTGTCATCCAGGTTGGAGTACAGTGGCCTGATCTCAGCTCACTGCAACTTCTGCCTCCCAGGTTCAAGCGATTCTCCTGCCTCAGCCTCCTGAGTAGCTGGGACTACAGGTGTGCGCCACCACGCCCAGCAAATTTTTTGTATTTTTAGTAGAGACGGTTTCACCATGTTCATTGGCCAGGATGATCTCAATCTCCTGACCTTGTGATCCGCCTGCCTTGGCCTCTCAAAGTGCTGCGATTATAGGTGTGAGCTACTGCGCCTGCCCCAATTTTTAATTAAGATGATCTTAATTCTTATCTCTTTCAGAAAAAGCTGATCTTATGGTTACTCTAGGAAATATTAGAAAGGGAAAATACATTAAAAAATAAGAAAATCTCCCCAATTACCCCGAAGTTGCCAAACCATGGAACACATTAAAAGATATTTGATGAATGACTAAATAATGATTCAACTTAAGAGCTAACACTGATACTTGACACTTAAATTCATAAACTTTCATATATATTATTAAATATATTATGCAAATTATTTCTAAAAACACCTTATTTAAAACTAACCATCTAACAAATCAGCTTACACAACTCTTCAAAAGAAAGATCTATACAAATAAAAAAGTTGTCTGCAAAATTCCTAGTAAGTTCCTGTCCTAAGCCAGAGTTTACTAGGCGGTACTTAAGTTCCATTTAGGATAATATATCTAGTTTTGAGTTTCACAGTGAAACAGATTATGATTCCTGTCAGGGGAAGCTATTTCAGAAAATAGGATACTAAAGTAGTTGCAGAAAATGCTTTGGTGTTATACATGAATCCTAATATTGCTGAGCTTCTTTGAAAATTAATAAAAACTGCTTAACATTCTACTGACTAAAATTTTAAAAGTAATTGCACAAGTAGCATTTATAATGATAAATCTATTGTAGGTTCTTAAGTTATTAATTATATTCCAGTTATTTGGTAACGTAAAATGCATATATTGAACAAGATGAATTTGACATTAACCAGACTCTCTTTTCTTTTTCTAAAGACGTTTACTTTACTTATTTAGGCTACAGACTATACTGCATTCATTCATTTGACAAATATTTACTGAAATCTTGAGTTGGGCACTGTGCTCAGAACTGAAATATAACAGAGATTACAGCAGACACGGTATTCCTGTCCTTCTGAAGCTTCCAACCTAGCAGACGAAAGAAAAGGAGTAAATGAAATAACTACCATTTCCCAGTGGCACCAAAATAGAAAGAAACGGAAAGAGAGCTTATTGGGTGAATCACATTGCTACTGGTAGCAACTAGAAATTGACAGCAATATAAAAAGCAGAAGCATCTTTAAAAAGCAGTGAAGGCTAGTCTGAGTGACAGCTGCTTGCATCATCATCAAAGCATCATATAATAACAGAGATGCTGATTCATTAAGAAGATATGTTCAGTATTAAAACAAAATCACCCAGAAAGATTTTCATCATGATCAAAAGACATATAATGTGTAATATCTATACTGGCTGCCTGTGTAGATAAAGTTGCCCAAAACAGGCCTTTGTAAGGGACATGTCATTTCTATTCACAAGTTTTTCATCATAAAAGACATTTTTTCTAACAAAATGTTTTTTTCTAAATTTTTCTAATAATTTTAACAACATCTTAAAATGCTCTATTTTTCAAACACACTAAATTATCAGGCTCATGCAACGCAATTGCATTTTTAGAAAAACAACCTGTCAGCTGGGTGCAGTGGCTCATGCCTATAATCCTAGCACTCTGGAGGCCAAGGCAGGCAGATTATCTGAGATCAGGAGTTCAAGATCAGCCTGGCCAACATGAAGAAACCCTGTCTTTACCAAAAATACAAAAATTAGCTGGGTGTGGTGGCAGGCACCTGTAATCCCAGCTACTTGAGAGGCTGAGGCAGGAGAATCGCTTGAACCTGGGAGGCGGAGGTGGCAGTGAGTTGTGATTGCGCCACTGCACTCCAGCCTGGGCAACAGCAAAATTCTGTCTCAACAACAACAACAAAGCAAACAAACAAACAAACAAAAAAAAGAAAAGCAAAAGAAGAAAAACGATCTGTCTTCTCTAGTCCTGTATGATGTCCCAATAACACCAAATGACTCACTGTTCCCCAAGTAAACACAGTTTCTTATCCCATTCCTTGGATCATTCCATCACCAGCAAGCTTTTCCTTACCCTTCACATGAGACTAACTCCTACTCACCTGTTAAGATTTAGCTTCAGATGACATTGTCTCCTGAAGCTGTTCATATTTCCTTTCTTTTTAGTTTTCCTATGTAAAGTTGTGTTAGGTTTCCCCTTACCTAGCACCCTATTATAATTGTTTGAAATGTTTTATAATCATCTGTTTTGTGGATGTATTTTACATTAGACTGAGCTTCTTGGGGGCAAGAACAGTATCTTATTTTCATAATCCCAGCAACTAGCACAGTAACTGGCCTGTAACAAAACCTTAGTAAATATCTGTCAATGTAATGAAAGGGCTGCTCTGGTTCTAGCTCTTTATGAAAACAAAAAATGCAGTATAGTAGCATCCACTTTCCTACAAAAATGAAGGCAGTGTATAATATATCAGTTTATAGAATGTCAAAACTACCTGGCGGCTTCACTGGCTAAGTCTACCCTGTTAGCAAAGTAAAAACTAGATTTAATCTGTATTATGATTTTACAGTCACAAAAAACTTGTGCAACATTTTCTGAGATTTCACTGGTATCTAAAAGACTTTAAATTCTTTTAAATTTAATAAGTTTCTTGAGCCAGATAAATAACAGCTACTTGCTCATATTCTGAATTTTAAGATATCTGTTCTATACCTCACTGGACAAAACCTAAGTATTTATTAGGCATGAGTACCTATGTCAGTATTAGAAAGAAGGGGAAAATAGTGTTAAGTGTAAGACACAGATCATCAAACTTGAAAAATTTACAACCTAGGGCAACAGATTTTTGAAACAACTCTAGCCTTAAACAGCTTCTTCACTGACTTCATGTATTTTCAAGGAAGTAACCATGTACAAACTTCTTGTAGAATAAAAATTGGTACAGAAATATAAAGTGTTGATATTATACTGTGGGAGAGAAGATACCAGTAAAGTTATTTTCAAACACTAGTAAAATTTTAGATGAATTTAGAAAAATTATTTCTAAACGTTTTCCAGAATTTCTATAGCCATTTACTAGGACTAATTCTGTTCTACAGAATTTTTTTTTTTTTTTTTTTTTTTTTTTGAGACGGAGTTTTGCTCTTGTTACCCAGGCTGGAGTACAATGGCACGATCTCGGCTCACCGCAACCTCCGCCTCCTGGGTTCAGGCAACTCTCCTGCCTCAGCTTCCTCAGTAGCTGGGATTATAGGCACGCATCACCATGCCCAGCTAATTTTTTGTATTTTTAGTAGAGACGGGGTTTCACCATGTTGAACAGGTTGGTCTCGATCTCTCGACCTTGTTCCACCCACCTCAGCCTCCCAAAGTGCTGGGATTACAGGCTTGAGCCACCGCGCCCGGCCTCAGAATTTTTTTGAAAATTGTCAAAACCCAAACAGATGCTTGCTGTTCAGTTACAGACTGGGGAAACAGCCCAGTATTTGGGATTAAAACTGTCAAGACTAGATAGGTTTTAGTCATCACTGTCTTTTGTCCAGTGGGGATTTAATCAATACTTTCAAAACGCTTCTGGTTTGGGAGTGTAGATAGGTTTGATTTTGTATATGTAATAGTTGATTGCTAAATTTGGTCAGATTTCTCCTGACTGGCTGTTCCTAAATTCTTAGGATATGACCCAGTAAAATTACACTTTATGAATTAATTGTCATTTGTGTAATTGTTGCATTTTGGATGTAACGTAATTTGATAATTAAAAAAATAATTTCCATTTAAGGTGTCTGTTTGCAGGTCAGAAAATGAGAAAATGTTTGTGTAATGCTCTGAAATGTAAAAAACAAAAACAAAAAAGCTGTAAATAAAATCAAGTAAATAAAAAAAATTGTCAAAATCTGGAACAAGGAAGTGAATAATCATTACCACAGGAAGATAAAAAATATTTCTATGTAATGCATTAACATTGAAAAATAATCTAGTCTTTCACTTTGATGAATTTTTGAAACATGATCTTTTATTGGAAAAAATATTTGTGAAAGTGCAAAATTCAATTTGAAAGCTTGGGAACAACTGGTATAATAAAGCTAAGTACTGTACACTTTAAAAACAAACAAACTAACAAACAAACAAATGAAGCTAAAAGAAAAGTGAGACGTTTCAAGAGAAATAAGCTCTTTATCTTCCCACTTTAAAAAAAACCCCAGCAGTTAAGTAAAGCATATCAATGAAAAAGGAAAGGGTTAATAATTTAAAAATGTCCTCTCCCATCTTTGGGCAGTACAGTGGATATAAACAGGAAAAAAAAAATGAGTATCAGCTATTTCAAAAGTGACTTCAAAATCTTTTTTTTTTCTTTTGAGACAGAGTTTCACTGTTTTTGCTCAGGCTGGAGTGCAATGGCACAATCTCGGCTCACTGCAACCTCTGCCTCCCAGGTTCAAGAGATTCTCCTGCCTCAGCCTCCCAAGTAGCTGGGATTACAGGCACGAGCCACCATGCCCAACTAATTTTACATTTTCAGTAGAGATGGGGTTTCACAATGTTGGTCAGGCTGGTCTCGAACTCACGACCTCAAGTGATCTGTGCCCCCTCGGCCTCCCAAAGTGCTGGGATTACAGGTGGGAGCCACGGTGCCCAGTCTGAAAAATCTTTAAAGAACTTACTCTAATTTAGGGAAAAGAATATGTGTCGTGCTACATTGGAGAAATGTCTCTTCTCCAGAGACAAGATGGAGCAATACTCTCTCAATCCACAAAAACAATGAAAAACAAACAACGATGTGTCAATAATTACCATTAAAAAGGAGTAATTTTTCTATCTTAAAAACTGTCTCATTGATTTTTCTGTCTATTAAATGATAAATTCTATAAGAATTCAATGACTGAATATGGGTGAAAGGAAGAAATTTAAATTAGAACCATCAAACGCTAGCTCTCTACAAACAGAGAGATAAAATAATTTATTAAAAATAACAGATGAGGTATTTGTATATTGGGTCAATCCTAACAAGTGATTAAAAATACATATATGTTAGTACCTTTACTGCTGTAAACCTACCACTGGATTAGGCATTTGTTTGATACCACATAGGATTTAGATGTTTAAATACATAGGGATAGAAAGGTGGAGGACAGGACAAAGTTATACAAACCACTTTTGAAGATCCAACCTACTTGTAATTATCGTCTTCCACAAATTTTTGTAGTTCTTCTATATACTGAACGGAGTTCAGATATTTTTGGACATGAGGCAACATGGGAATATCTAGGCAAAAGGTGATAAATAATTATCTGATAAAGTACAACTTAACCCGAACTTTAAAAATCAAGCTGAAAATAATTTAAAGGTAAGTTAAGGCCACATGGTATCAAAATTTAAATTAACTCTAGAAGGACATTACTGAGATAAACTTTATTTAATGTGAAACTGAGGGTAATTTAGAAAATTAAAGTTGCATACTGTTTGTATAGATTGTTGTTGTATTTTTTAATAGCTCCAATATAAAGTCTCACATATTTGATAAATTTCATAGAAAATGATCAGGAACTATTCTAAACTAAACACAAGACACGAAGGCAGTTATTTTTCTTTTAAAGAAACCTCGTTCCCATTTATAAATGTGGTCTATTTTCTCCCCTTATAAATTTCAAGCAAGATCAATTTAACATCACAACTTGATGCTATGTTTAAAATACTGAGAAAAGAACAGAATAAGGAATTATTTGATTTAACTTTAAGTAAGATTCTATTTCCATAGATACTTTTAGGAAGTTTTTGAGGTTTTCTAAAAAGTATAGATGCACGAAATAAAAGTCAGTTTTAAGATAAATTTACTTGAAGTCATCATATAATGCCAAACTCAGTTTTTTAACCCACAGAAATTATATATTAATAGCCTAACTTTATTCTCTATCAAACTGGAAGTATCTAAATATTTTAAAAAATACCTTTTCTCATCATTTGGGCTTATTTAGCTCTTTCTATATATGTAATTCTATAAAATACATGTTTAGGATAGAAATTGGTTATTTACTCAGTATCTGACTCAAGAAAGTTGGTCAACTGACACAAGGCTCAAGGGTCTCAGCAACATTTCCCTAATGGAAAAATGTAAAAACTATTTACATAATAGATCAGGGAGATCAAATAAGATAACAGAAAACAACTCTGTAAACTATAAAGGGCCAAATAGCTGTGAGGTAGTAATACTAAATACTCAATGCCCTTGTACTGTGAGAAAGTTGCTGCAAAATAGCAGAAAAGCAAAATATAAAAATAAAAATTTTAAATATTAAATACTTAAATTCCTTAAAAGGAAGATTTTAAATAAAAGAAGCACTATTTCCCTTTATATTAGGATGGAAATAAGAAACTGAAATCCCCTGCTGTTTGAAAAGTGATCATCAATGTGTGAATAAATCACTGGAATTACAGCAATGTTAATGGCTTGGCATTATCTCCCAGAAACTTACCATATTCACAAGACTGTTGCAAATCAGAAATTATTCGAAGGATATTATTCATTAAATTTGATCTTTGCTCACTTTCTAGAATGCTGCCAGTTGACGGGTATGCTGAATCAATGTATGTTAAATCTGACAAATAGATACCTGAAACAAAATTAGGTAAATGAATGTTTTCTGATTTGTAGCTTGAGAGGCTATGACAAAGAAAGGGGGAAAAAGGTTTTTTATAGATACATTCCAATGTATGCCACATTTAAAATACATTGCTATTAATACACTGAGGGCCTGGGTAACACATGATTACTGGGGTTGAGGTTTCCATATGGTTGGGGTCAGATATATACCAATTTTTTTTTGTAATAATATGCTATTTTGTAAATGTCTTCTTGTGATTTCATTTTCAAGTATAGTCTGAGGCTACAGTTAGAAACTCCAGAACACATGGGAATTAATGGAAAGGAGCTGAGCTCTTCAATTGGCTCTGCCTCTGACTAGTTTCAAATGGAGACGGTTATTTTAAACTCAGAACCTCAGATTTAAAATCTATACAAGTATCCATTTCCAAGGTGTATTACAGCTTGAAGACATTAATTTAGTTAGCTGCCCAGCCACTGCCTGACAAAGGGAAATTATTTAATATTTGTTTTATACTCTTTTGCCTTGAGTTGATAACTATCATTTGAGTCTTAACTACTTTGAAAATTATCTCGATCTGGTAGAAATGTTTTATTCTTTAAAGATCAACACATGAATTTCTGAAATAGTTGATGTGACTACAAATTGAAGTTAACTATTTCTTAGCCTCTATGAGCTTTGTACCCAAAAATAACATAACACAACTTCTAAAATTTGGTTGTACTAGTCCTTAAGATGAAAGGTCACTCATTTAAGATTATTTCTGGAGAGTTCACTATGCACATGTGAAATGTATTAGACAATCATAGCTGGAGAGAAAAGAAAAACATACTTTCCTACTTTTACCCCATTACTTCATGTTCATGAACTCTCAGGGAAACACAACCAAAATGCCACACCTACTGCCTTCTAAATAAGCACTGCTTTTCCTCAGCTTTTTCTTATACCTTAAATGTTTCTAGCTTACCTCTGCCTATCCAAATCCTATATTTTACTTATCTAATTCAGTGTCAACTGTTCTCTAGTTTTCTCACAGATTCCAAGAAAGGAATTCAGACACTGTCTAGTCTAATTCCCTCCTTTTACAGATGAAGAACCTGAAATACAGATAGTAAAAGGACCTGTCTAATGCCATGCAACCTGTTAGTGACAGAGCTGGATTTCAGGTCTCACTTATAGCCCAGTGTTTTTTGTTGTTTTTTTTTTTAAATTACTTACATTCTGTTAAAAAAATCATATGTTATTGGTCCATACTATTCACTTGATAACTTTTATGACTTCCAAAATCTCCTTACTTAGATTTTTTTACATTTATATCTTACCTATTCAAGACTCCAAACTCATTTAAGGCAGTTGCCCTATCTTGCGACAGAGAAAGAAAATCTTGTGCAATGTTTTGACAACAGGTGCTTAATACACCATAAAAAGCTGGCACAGCAATCTTTTTACTCATCCCACTATCATTCACTTTCCACTCAGTAAAGTTTTACAGTATTCTTTAAGCCACCTATCATACTTTCTTTTCTTTAGACAACCTCAACTTTATTTCCCTGTAACTCCCAATGAATCAGAGGTTCCAAATGAAGCTACGGTTCTTCCCACTTTCCCCAATCTCGGAGGAAGAAGAATCCCTCTCTTCTTCCCAAATCTCAACCGTAATTTTGAATGCAATTGTTGCTGCCTCCTTCCAAACAACCACCATTGCCTCTACTATCACTCGTCCTACTGGCTCCTTTCCCAGAGCCAATATAGACATTTTTCTTCGAGACAGAGTCTTGCTCTGTCACAGGCTGGAATGCAGTGGCGCAATCTCAGCTCACTGCAACCTCTGCCTCTTGGGTTCAAGAGATTCTCGTCCCTCAGCCACCAGAGTAACTTGTATTACAGGCGTGCGCAACCATGCCTGGCTGGTTCTTGCATTTTTAGTAGAGACAGGGTTTCACCATCTTGGCCAGGCTGGTCTCAAACTCCTGTTCTCAAGTGATCCGCCCGACTCTGCCTCCCAAAGTGCTAGGATTACAAGCGTGAGCCAATGCGCCTGGCCCAATATACATGTTTAAATCTACCCTACTTAAAAGACAAAATCTAAGCAACTCTTCCTTCAAATCTGATCCCACTCCTCAAGATAACATCCTTGCCATTCTCCCTTCAACAAGCACCTTGGAAAAAAACACAGAGCAGTAAACTTCTTTATTATTTTATTTTTAATGTAATATTTGATACACAAAAAAGTTTACATGTGCTAGGAAAATTGTAAAAGACTTTGAGACGGGGGAAAAAAAAAGATTACTAGGTATCCTGTCTCCAGTGCATCAGTTTGATCATTTTGAGCTATTTTATAACTCTGCACAGCTGATGAAAACTGGTAATACACATTATTGTGCATAAAAATGCCAAAGAATTATGTCCATTGGGATCTAATGAATGTTGACTTATTAATGTTGATCAATTTTGCAACTATTTGTTAAATTTATTTCAGCATTCTTGATTGCATATGTGTGTTACTTTGAATTCTTCCTTGATGCATTTTTGATTCCCTTATAAATTTAATAATTTAAATGAAAATTTGGACACATATTCATTTCATATTTGTGTGAGAATCATGATTTGACTTAAAAAAATTGTTGCCGTGAACAGTGGCTCATGCCTGTAATCTCAGAACTTTGGGAGGCTGAGGCAGGTGGACTGCTTGAGCCCAGGAGTTTGAGACCAGTCTGGGAAACACAGTGAGACCCCACCTCTTAAAAAAAAAAATTATCAACACATGTGACATCTGTTGTTATCAAACAATATAACAAACATCTGCGAAAGACCAGGAAACTTATTACATCCTCGCTAAGGAGACCTACAAGATTCCTCAAGGAAATGGCACAGGGATATTAGCACATGTATATCAATAACAGTAATAAAATATGTTAAAAGTAGCACAGAAAAGCTTAAAGAGGAGTTTCATAAAAATTCTGTGCAAAAAAAGTGTCATTCCCTGCTGATGCGATCAGAGAAGGCTTCAAGGAAGAAGTGGGGTTTGAGCTGGGTACTAATGTGCCAGTTATTGCCATTTTTCCATCTTATCATTAAACTCAGATAACAACTCACCTATAGTCATTCACTATACTGTGCTGTCCAATATGAGAGCCACTGGCCACATGTGACTACTGAGTATTTCATGTGCTTATTCTGAATTGAGATGTATTTGAGTATAAAACAGACAACAGATTTTGAAGGGTTAATATGAAAAATTAATGTAAAATATCTAATAAACTTTTTTATTGGTTACATGTTAATATTTTAATATGTTGGGGTAAATACTACTCTTTAAACGAGAACTACAACATCATCTATACTGTTGCATTTATTGGTATGTTCCTTTTCTACTTCATCTCCTTGCTTCCTGTCCAGAAATAACCACTAGCCTGAACTTTAAGATCATTCCCTTATTTTTTCCCCTACACATTTGTCTGTATTCCAATCTTTGTCTATTTTTGAGCTTTAAAAATAACATTTTAAGCATCTGAGGATTAACTGACAGTATTTGTAATGTTAGAAAAGTGTCTAGTATATACTGTCACTTGTAAAGATTTATTAAATAAAATTTAAAAATATAGTCTTCTGTGGTTGCTTTGTCTATTTTGTTTCTAAGACTTATCCACACCGTTAAATGCCGCTGTAATTCCTGAGAATGAGAACAAGCTAATGTGTGGTTATCTTACAATAACTAATTTGACAAACTTTTGAGTTACTTCCATCCCACCCTCAACCACGCTGCTATAGACATTCTTATACACATCTCCCAGTACACATGTACAGAATTTCTTCAGGATATATGTACAAGCCTAGAAGCAAAACTGCCAAGTACTAAAGTATACTAATATTCAACTTTACAAGATGGTGCCACATTATTTTTCAAAGCTGTATCAATTCGCAGTCCCACTAACTGTATACAAGCTTCTGCTGATCCACATTTGTGCTAACACTTGGTATTAACAATCTCAATTTTGCCAACCTTCTGAGTATAAAATGGTATCTCTTTGTGTCTTAATTTTTATTTCCTTGATTAGTAAAAAGGTTAAACATTTATATTTCCATGTAATAAATGTTTCTGTCCATTTTTTCTTTTTGATTTCTAATTTCTTAATCTATTGTACACACTAATTTGTCAGTTAAATATTATATAGTCACTCTTCAACACACTAAATAATTTGAAATCTGTATCTATCACTTATTTTGGCAATGACATTAATAACTTTTTCATTCTAAGACTTAAAACATCTCTCTTGGTTTCCCCTTCCTACGTAATCTCTCTGCTGTATTGTAACCATTCTCTTCTAGTTCCCAGGTTTTTCCTAGCTTGAACTTTCCTATCTTCCCTCAAACCCCAACCATTCTGCTTTTTCCTGTTTCCTGGAAGCTGGTTTCCTAGAAACTGGAATCATGGTCTGTCATTAATCTTTCTTTTCATTCTATGTGTACTTTCTCTAGTATCTTAGTTCCATAGCTTTAGCTACTACCTAATTGCTGATGACTTTCAAATCTCTCTATGTAAATGAGCTCCTGACTTTCATTTTCAGTTTAACATATCTAACCATAATTTGTCCCTAAATACCTGTCATTCCAAATTCCTATATTGCTTAGGGATATTATTAATTGCTCAAGTTAGAAAGCTCCAAACTGCTCAAATTTAAAAGCTCAGGAAGAATTTACTATCTCTTATTTTTCCCAGATTTAAACCATTAGTGACTACAACATAATTACTGAATAATCAAGAAATTATAAATAAAATACATCAGAGGCCAGAAGCTGGCAGCACATTTGTCCCAATGTTTTTTAAATTCAGAAAGTATCACAGGAAAAATCTAAATGGCTCTCTTTTTTTCCTGTAAAATGGGCAGATCTGGAAACACTGTCTTATAATCCTTCATGGCCACAACAAGTATAGCTGAGAAGATGCAGGCAGGTCCCTTTAAATTAACCATAAGGATGCCAACTTGTCATAACCTTCATTTCTCTCCATTATCTTACTACTGATTTACTTCACTGATTTATATTATCTGCTCCATTCTTCTTGTGAGCATTTGCCTTTCTAGGCCCTTGTGTTTGCAACCTCTGGTATACCTATACATGGCATAAGAATTCAAAGAAATGATTCTGTGAAAAAGGTAGAAAATAAGCTCAGACTTTAAATAAAGGATATGGATCAACAGTGTGGCCTAACAGAAAGAGAAAAACAGCATGAGCTATAGCAACAAGGAAGGGAAAGCACAGATATGCACAGAAAGCCCAAAAGTTTTATCTAGAAGCAGCTTACAGCAACTAGGTAACGGTAATCAATGACAGACAGTATGGCATAATGCTTTGGCATTAGATTCAAATCCCAGCTCCACTACTTGTACTTAAGTACTAAGCTAAGTTATTTAAGCCTAAATTTGTGTTTCTTCAGCTACCGAATTACTTAACATTTCTTCAGTCAATGAAATAAAACAGTATAGTTGTACTCAACACTTTAATTAATCTTCCAGCACCTTATTTTCATAGCAGAAGAACCTGGACAGAGGTAGGTAAAGTCATTTGTCTAAGTTCACATAGTTAGTGGAGAGTCAGAGCTTCTTTGTTTTTTCACTCAGTTCAGGGTTATGTTTGTTTTTAAACCACACCACATCAATTAATAATAAAAGGGTCATTTTGTAGAATAGGAGGATGTGACATTATGTAACACCACAATTTAATATTTAAAAGTATTAACTATCTGAAAGAATTTGACTTATGTTTGGTAATTACATATAAAAGCAGTTTTCTCTTAAGACACATTTCATGGTAAGACATAACATATTACAACAGTATCAAGTATCTTGTAAGTTTAAAACTTTCATTAGCAACTTAATAAGTAAAATGTTTACAAATTCTTCTAGACTATACAGAGTATTACATTATTTAGGTGGCTGCCTCCTGACAAAGTCTAGCTCTTGTTCTTTGTTAACAAAAACCAAACTCACCAGCCTGCAACTACTTCTAAGTGAAGTTGAATACTATTTTTTTTTCTGTATTCAACTTAAAAGATCTCTGGCCAGCAGACTAAAATGTTTGTTTTATAATTGCCCGCTGAACTATGATAGTTTGTTTCTAGATGGTGCCCTTCCTTCAACCTGCACACAATCTCTCCTTGTTCAAAACTATTCAACCTCCTGCTGATCCCACCCCTCTATGTAAGGCTACAAAGAGGAAATCCTAAGGAGGAGATTCCCGCCCCCAGTCTCCAGCAATTTCTGGTGATGTAATATGTGGGCTGAACTTGAGTCTACTGAGAAAGAGGGAATCACTATTCAGGGGTACTGTATATACAATCTAGGTCAGCTGCAGCTGGTTACTGCATTTCTCCATGTGGCAGACAGAGCAAAGCTACAACGCTTTCTCTGCTGGATTAAAGACGTCCCACAGACCAGATCTTCTACTATACTACTTAAAATTACATAGGTTGCTTGTCAAATTCAATTGATGAGTATTGTAAAAGGAAAAAGAAGTTCCTTCTTACAGCGTGGATTCAACGGTCCAAAACAAAAATGCAGCTTCCATTAAAGTAACAGATGAACAAACTTCTACACTGATTTTTAAAATCAAGAATAAGGCAGCAAGTTTCTGGATTCACTGTATCAACAGATACAAAAAGGTATTTAATATTTCTTTTATTTAAAAATATTATGTATATCAAATGCATAACTATTTAATATTTGTAGTAGAAATTTCAGAATCTTTACTAAACAAAGACCTTTGGAATATACTACAGTTTACCTTATCTGAAAAAGGATTTAGCCTGCAACCTGACATAAAAACATTAAGTACTGTGTGATGGTTAATGCATTATTTGAGGTTCAACTTAATGACAGTTAGTGTGTATGATAACAGACTGATACATGCATGCCATGCTGGGTTGCTGAAAACAAGTGCTTTAGTGACAGTAGAAAGAAATTTTAACAAGTAACAGATTAAATGTATAAGGTTTAAAGCTTAATGACTAAAAACAAAGGAATACAAACTAAAGAAAATAGCTGTAAACACAATTAGTTTCTCTTCCTGAAGCTACAACATGTGTGCTGAAGATATACATAAACTGTTGGCTTTCGCGCCGTCATAAAACAAAGCTAAGGTATAAAAACAGCTGACAGTCTTTGCAACAAAATCTCAATTACAGTATAACTAAATATTAAGCAGAAATTCTTGTACAGATTTAAGACTGATTTATGACACTTCTTGTTCCAACTCAAAATTTTAAATAGCTTTCCAGTCTTACATATAATAGCAATTTAATTTGGATAACAGAAATTAAACTCACTACAACTGGAATTACTTGGAAAAGCAAGTTATCGATATACACACAAAAGCATTATGTAAGTAGTCAATATTTATTAACAATAGAAAATAAGAACTCAGAAGATATAATTAATTAAATACATGACTAAAAGGCCAAAAATATATAATATTTTTAGATAGAAATAAGTTCGTTAAGCACACCTAAAAGGTGTCCTTAAATATTTTATCTGGAGCTTTGTCTACCTGCATTATAAAAACAATTAAAGATAAAATCACCAGTTACCAGTAGCATGCCTTAAACCAAAGACACATTGGTTTGTTAGATTTGGGGCTCCTCTGGCCTTATAAAAATTAAAGATATTAATGATTAAGAATCCTGAACAAACAAATAATGGTAAAGCTAAAATTTTTTTCCAACTTTGCTTTGATGTCCTTTCTTTAAAGATTTAAAACTGTAAATACTGGCAGGATTTCTGTTCAACACAGATTTTACAAGAAATTCTAACAAAATTTCCAAGCAATAGTGGATATGAAATACTGCTATCTCTCTTTTTTGTTGTTGCATTCTATGGAAAGTGCGGACTTCATTAAGCCTCAGTTCTTACTGATGCTGTCTTAAGGCAAGCATTTAATCTGAACCCCAAATCACACAGATAGCTATTTATCCTTTTCTTAAATATATCCAGGGGATTAGATTGTTCCAAGTCTCTTCCCAGAACATATTTCACAATCTAGCAGTTCTTTATCTAACATATCCTGAAGGCTTCATAAATTTACTTCATTGCCTCATACTGTTTTCAGTGCATGACACAGCCAGCTAAATGCCTCTATGAGTTTACCATCTGAAAGAAGGCAAATCCTAACTTTCGTTTCTTCTCTCTAGTAGCTAGCAATGAAGCAACTATGAAGAGAAATGCTACTAATAAAATTAACCCAATGCATTTTTTTTCTTTTTTAAAAACACCAAGACTAGATTTAAACTTAAGTATTCTAACTAATTTATAACATTCTCTTGGGGCCTAGGAAAATTTTAACATACACAGTAAGGTTTTATGAGGTAACATAGATTTATGGATCTTTCACTTCAAAACTGAACATACGTGAGAAAATATCAAATAAGAGAATGTTTTTAGAAAACATAACAGTAAATGTATTTTTAAAACTAGTTCTTTACTCCTGACGTAGCTAGTCTACTACTTAAGAAATGTGGGTCCTTACCCTGCTTTAAGTGACAATGAAGCCAATACTTTCGCATTTATTAAAAATGCAGTAGCCAGCTGCAGCTGACCTAGATTGTGTATACAGTACCCCTGAATAGTGATTCCCTCTTTCTCAGTAGACTCAAGTTCAGCCCACATGTTACATTATTATACTTATTAAAAAAATAAACTTTTAGTTGCCTCCTTTAAATACTAATTTAGATTACTTTCTCTTATGGTAGGCAGTGATATCTCTTATGCCTTACTCTTATAGGAACCACAATGAGCCAAGCCAGAATACACACAAGGAAGTTGTTTTTAATTCATCTAAATTTTAGCATTTTGGAGTTTTTGTTCTTCAATGACAACACTGATGCAAAGTCCTAACAGCAGTCTTGGATGATGTGCTTTTAGCTGTTCTCTAAAAATCTGCGTCTGGTATTAATACAAGCTGTTCGATCAGAATACTGCTCATAAAATTGTATTTGTTTTGGAGTTTTATATTACTTCCTGCATTTTCCTTGTTTTGGTAGTTTATTTCATAGTAAATATTATTTAAGTAAAATAATTTTATGATCTAAGAGTTTCTATTCTAGTACTAAAATGAACAAACTTTAGCAGTAGGTAAGTTAAATATATAGAAAAAATGATATACATGTGCCCAGGAGAATGACTTTTATTTGCTAGAGACAAGAAAATAAAAGCCCAGGCTAAATTCCATGTCTAAATTCCATCAACCTGGACATATAATAAATGTTTTATTGGTTTTTGGTATAGGTATCTCCTGTATAGTAAAAGTCTATTTTTAAAAATAAAATAGATGACTGTTTCTGTCTAAATTTTCTATAGATGTCAGGAAGCAAGGTATGAAAACATAAAAAGAAAAAAAAAATTTTTTTCACCCATGTGTGCTTTGGCTATCAGTCAGCAAAAGAAGGCCTTGATAGAAATACAGATTATTACGTCCTCCCTATCTTTTGTTTTCATTCCCTCTCGTTAGTAAAAGAATTCTCTATACTTCGTATTTGCCTTATTTTCATTATCTGCCCATTTTGAAGACACTATTAATTGAAAAATGCCAAAAACAAAAGAACATGGTTTTAGAAAGTGAGAGTAGCAGCAGTCTTCATGACGACAGCAGAAGAGTCTATATTTCACTGACATGACCTTTGTTCTTGGGAGGGGTCCATAATCATAGGTAGATCCGTCACTACCAACTGACAGAATACATGTGGAGGGAGAGAAATAACTGCAGAGAAGTCTGAGATGTAAAAAACGGTTTCGCAGAATTTGGACACAAATTCTACCAAAAATTATCCATAAATACTTTTGCATAATTAAGTAACCGGTCAATGAAAGTGGATATAAACCAGGAAAAGGCTGTGAAAAGCAAGAAACATAAACTTAAGACTCCTCTGTGGTTATGACATGACTAGGATAAAAATCACAGGTCTAGAAAAGTTAGAAGAGTAGAAGGTTTGAATCCCATTTAAGTGATTTAGCTTCTCAAGGATTTTATGCCTTTATATAACGATACAGCATTTACTTCAGCGTTGTAAATGCAAATAGCTAACATGTGTTAAGCTACATAAATATAAGGGATTGTCAACAGTGTTGCTGTTAGGAATTTCTTTAGTACCTTGTCATATAATGTCTTGGTTAATTGAAAACGTGAACTCTGAAGTCTTCAGACTGGATTCAAATTCTGGCTCCATCACTATGAAGCTGTATGACTCCTGTAATAAGGTACTTAACTTCTGGATGCCAAGTTTTTCATCTGAAAGTGGGGATCATAATAATCTACTTCATAGGGTTGTGGTGATAAGTAAAACATGAAAATGGCTTAAAATATGACTAACATTGAACAAGCACTCAATAAATATTAACTGCTGTTACTGTTGTATTATTATTAGTAACAGGCATAAACGATCTAGAAGCTGGTTTCTTAAATCAAGAAACAGTTACTTATGTGGAAATTTGGACAGAAAAGCTCTGTCTTAGAATATCAACTGCCATCCTTCAAAAATGGCAGACAGGTATCAAGTTCTCAAGAGTGAAAAGGTAGCCTGTATTAGACCAGCTCGTTAGTAGATCCAATGGAGTGAACATACCTTACCCCATTCTACTGCTCCTACTCTTGTGGGAGTAAAGAGAAAAGAAAAATTCTTGGCTCTTGAAGCTGTTTCCTCAGAAGAATTCGTACTATAAAGAACAAGTATTTCTCATCTGCTACAGCAAAAATGAAACATTCCAAGCACATATTTTAGTATACGTGCTGCTGTTACAAATATTGACTATGGGTCAGAGAATCTGATCTAGACCTGGTTCTAATCCTGTGTTGCCTCAGCTTTCAACATGCATAGAGTACAGAGAGATTCTTGAATGAGAGGGTCTCTAAGGCATTTTCCAACTTTGACATTCGTATTTAATTACAGTTATGTTTCTTTCCTTGCTAATGGTTGTAGAAAATTACTAACATTTTACTAAAATACCGTTCAGTAGGACTTCTGTTAGAAGAACGAACCTGCTGAATCATCTATAAGCTACAGTACATATAATCATGGTTCAGGAAACATAATTACCCACAATGACTGTGAGCATTCTATCATTCTAAAACCTGTCACTAATCCCAAAAGGAGATGCTATAAAAATAAAAAAACACAATGCTAAAACTATCTGGGTTTAGATTTGTCTGAAATGTTTAACTTTATTGAACATTTTAACGAAGAAGACATAATTTATTACAGAGGACCAATTTAACTGGAAGTGCATAGTATGAATCCAAAACTTTGGCTAGTAAGGTCACCTGGTAATTTTAATACTAGTTAGGCAAGAATGTTTTAATTAGTGCCTTACATACACTGTACCATTTTCATAGTCTTAAGGTAGGGAGCTTTTTAAAGGTAAGAAAGCTATCTTATCAGGGTCTCAAAAGCCTCAACAGCCCTAGCAGTGTACCTTTGCACAGAGTAACACTGACCAAAATCTGCTCAATAAACTGGGGAACAAAAAGCACTATAATAAGGTGGCAGCTGGAAGAACTATTCTCTGAAACCTCATCTTTAAACAAATGCCAAAGTACTACAACTTAATATTAAATTTAAGAAATTAATAAAGTTAATTCTAGCCTAATTTATCAATACCAATAAGTAGTTTTCCTCCCTCTGATAGTTTTTAATATTACTGACTTTAACATATGTCAATATGAACTCTTTCTGCTTTCTCCCTTCATTTATTTGTTTTTCAAAAGACATCATTTACAACCTCATTCAAAATGAAGGCTTTTACCTGGACCCTAGGTGTGCTATTCTTCCTGCTAGTGGACGCTGGACACTGTAGAGGAGGACAATTCAAAATTAAAAAAATAACCCAGAGAAGATACCCTCGTGCCACAGATGGTAAAGAGGAAGTAAAGAAATGTTCATACACATTCCTGGTACCTGAACAAAGAATAACAGGGCCAATTTGTGTCAACACCAAAGGGCAAGATGCAAGTACCATTAAAGACATGATCACCAGGATGGACCTTGAAAACCTGAAGGATGTGCTCTCCAGGCAGAAGCGGGAGATAGATGTTCTGCAACTGGTGGTGGATGTAGATGGAAACATTGTGAATGAGGTAAAGCTGCTGAGAAAGGAAAGCCGTAACATGAACTCTCGTGTTACTCAACTCTACATGCAACTATTACATGAGATTATCCGTAAAAGGGATAATTCACTTGAACTTTCCCAACTGGAAAACAAAATCCTCAATGTCACCACAGAAATGTTGAAGATGGCAACGAGATACAGGGAACTAGAGGTGAAATATGCTTCCTTGACTGATCTCGTCAATAACCAATCAGTGATGATCACTTTGTTGGAAGAACAATGCTTGAGGATATTTTCCCGACAAGACACCCATGTGTCACCCCCTCTTGTCCAGGTGGTACCACAACATATTCCTAACAGCCATCAGTATACTCCTGGTCTGCTGGGAGGTAACGAGATTCAGAGGGATCCAGGTTATCCCAGAGATTTAATGCCACTACCTGATCTGGCAACTTCTCCCACCAAAAGCCCTTTCAAGATACCCCCGGTAACTTTCATCAATGAAGGTGAGTTACCTCTTACTGTTAGAAGTGGGAGTTATGAGGTTAGTATTTTTATGCTTTATGAAACAATGCTCATAATAAATGCTCATTCTTCATTTTGTGATGTTACTATACACAAATATATGTTATACATGTTATAGAAAATGTCTATTTTTGTTTTTTATTAGTATCACAAATTGAAGTTAAATACATCTCCTCTTCCAGCTCTAAAGTTCTAGGAGTTTATAAAAACTTAGTGGATACTCTGAAAAAAGCAGTCTTGAGACAGGAATACCTCCATGCTCTACTCCAAATCACTCCTGCACGCCACAACCATCCTATCAGCTCCCAGTTGGGTCACTGCTGCTGCCCAACAATTCTTTTATGTACCTATTGCTGCTTGTACCACCATCTTCTTCAAAAGAAACATGTAAAATATTCCTTTCACTCTCTTCAAGCTGTAATTATACCTAATTATCTCCACTCTCGGTAGATGATGTATCTACTACTATACTCAGTAAGTCTAATCAGATTCTGGTTTTGTTCTTTCTTATCTTGAAAGCATCTTTACAAAACCCATGCCTTCTTGCCCTCATCCTCATGAAGAAAAGGTATTCCTTCTATTTTCCAAGGCTAAACAAACAACAATTAGTGCTGTGTATCCTAAGAAACATAAATTTTCATTGCTATATAAAAACCTCTTGCATTGATCATACATGATTCTGAACTCTACCTTTAAATTTCATTTCTTCCTTTCTTCATGCATTCAGTATCAGTCACTGATCTAGGTGTCCAGAAAACAAAGATGAATAACTAATCTTTGTTTTAGTTCACTAAGCCCACCAGTAGTTTACGTTTATTTTACACTTGCAACTATTTTCTCATAAGCCATTCCCAGAATCCTTTACAAGTTGATTTGCTTCCTTAGAGTGGAAGGGAAAACCCAAATGCCACAAAGCAAAAATGAGTAAAGAAACTACAGTTCATTCACTTATTGAAAAGACAGGACATAAAACATATACTATGAAATAATTTTAAACAACAACAATAAATAGAATAAAGACTGGAAAGAAATACATCACGAAGTGGTTTCGTCTGTCTGTAGCAGTGAATACCACTTGGCTATTCATAGCCCTGTTTTCTTGGCCTTCTACATTTTAATATTCTTCCTATTTCTTTAGGTACTTCACTGGCATCTTCTTCCTTCTATGCCTTAAAAGTCTTTCTTCAAGATCCTCTACTTTAGAATATCTTAGCCTCAAGTATCACCACTGCTCAGATGATTCCTGAACGGAGTGCTCCCTCCTGATTTAACCAAAGCTGGATGTTTGCATTTGGATATTTCACCATTACCTCATACATCTTCCTTTACTGAAACACCTTTTTTTTTTTTTTTTTAGCTTATCTGTCAATTCAGCAGATCTCAAGGCTTAACTCAAATAATATATTTGATGTTGTGAATTCCCAGATTCAAACAAACATACCTAGGTGGCTCTTTCCCCAAATCACTGACTGTTTCTCAAACATGTTTTCTGTATGATATTACGCTGAAGTTATTTATTTATATATCTGTCTCCTTGCTGGTCTGAATGCTTCTGGAAGACAGTCAGCTGTCTTTTTACCATCTGATTTCAACATCTCTGTTTTGATTAATGTTGTCACCCATTTCCAAATGAGCTAGGCTCATCTTTGAACTTCCCCACCTGTCCCATACACAGTCCACTGAATTGTACCATGTCCCCTTTCTGGTCTCTTGTGTGCATGCCCCTCATTTCTATTCAGAGCCAGAACTCTAGTTTAGATTCAAATGATTCACAACAGCAGCTAGAAGACAGAGACTTCCTAGGCTTCCAGCCATGTGATCTTAGGGGAAAAAAATGATCTGTGTCTGTTTCCTTACCTGTGAAATGGGAATGATAACAGTATTTACCTTGTACAATTTAACAACTGAAGAGTGCTTCGAACAGTGCCTGGCACTCAAATGTTAGTTCTTATTAACAACTGTACAAATAGCCTGCCAACTGCCGTAACTCTGTTTTCTCTCTCCATCAAAATATATTTACATTGCAAGCAGACCCACCTTCTTAAACTACTCACATATCACACTTCTGCTCAGCAGTTTCCCATTGCAAACAGAAAGAGTTCAATTTGCTTAGTCTGGCTAAGAATAATGTCCTCCCTCCTAAAAAATCAAGCCTACTTTGCTAGTGGACCTTCCATTAGTTTCCTACGTAAAACCCATCTGTTTCAATAAAATAAATCCATTCACTTTCCCCTAAATATTTTCCTTGCTTCCTGCCTATTGAAAGTGTAAGGCTCAAACCAAACCAACCAACCAACCAACCCAGCAAACAAATAAATAAAGTGCAACTCCTCCTTGAGGCCCTTGTTGACTCTCACAGCTTTGAAATGATTGTTGCTCTCCATGAATATCTCTACTCTCTGTAACATACATAAGACATTCCGTATAACCCCCTCTTGAATTAACAATTTTCTTTACATATACTCATAATACATCTAACTAAGATGGCTTCCAACTATATTATAAGCTCTTTCCTGGTAGATGGTTACTGTGTCTTATCTGCAGCTGCTAAATAAGTGTTAGCTGATTTGGCAACATTTTTATAGAGCTTCTTAAAGTCATCATTCTAAAGACCCTCATGAAAGTACTTTAGTATATCATATTGGATTTGTTCATTTTATAATGTTCTAAGTTACAGTAGTAATAGCCTGGAGTATCATTAAATTGGGTAAATGATGATCATTATTAATATCCTCACCGGGCATGATGGCTCATGCCTGTAATCCCAGCACTCTGGAAGGCCAAGGCAGACGGACCACTTGAGGTCAGCAGTTTGAGACCAGCCTGGCCAACATGTTGAAACCTGTCTCTACCAAAAATACAAAACATTAGCTGGGTGTGGTGGTAATCTCAGCTACTGAGGAGGCTGAGGCAAGAGAATCACTTGAACCTGGGAGGCAGAGGTTGCAGTGAGCTGATCGTGCTACTACACTCCAGCCTAGGTGACAAAGTGAGACTCTGTCTCAAGAAACAAACAAAAAAACGCTCAACTCCTTTGATTTCCAAAGGGAAAATGTGGTGTGTAAAGTGATCCACTGGGTATAGAAAGAAGAAACAGAAAAAGAGAAAATTTGTTTTTGAAATCCTTTAAAATTTTTGTTTTATGAAAGCTTTTATATAATTTATCAGTAGTTTGTATATGTAAGTTATAAATAAACAGAATTGAGGTGTGTAAATTTTTAAATTGATGAGGTATACAATTATGTAAGTATGAAAACAACTGCCATGAAGTATTCTATGTGATCCCAAAGCTTGAGTAGATGGTATAACCAATTCTAGCAGAAATAATTATTCACATTTTAATATGCTGTAAGCCCAGCTATTTAGGAGGCTGAGGCAGGAGAATCACTTGAACCTGGGAGATAGAAGTTGCAGTGAGCCAATCATGTCACTACACTCCAGCCTGGGCGACAGAGACTCTGTCTCCAAAAACAAACAAACAAAAAACTCAATCCTTTTGATTTCCAAAGGGAAAATGTGGTATATAAAGTAATCCACTGGGTCTACAAACTTTTCTTTAAAAAAATGCTTATACAAAAGGAAACATACTATGTTTTATTATACACTCAGAGTTAGTACAAAAAAATCCACTAATGATACAGAATTAAACCTCATGTTAGGGATTTAGTATGTCAAAAGTCCTCTTAAACACATTTTGTTTTAATGAAAAAATGGTGTACCTATCTTCAATAAATGATTCTTTAACGTAAAAATTAAGGACAGATAACTTTTTCTGTTATTATTTGTTGTTTTATGTAAGCATTAACTTTTTACTTATTTTATTCTATAAATGTTGGTCTCTTAAATTCAAGGGCATAATTTGCTACACCATAAGAATTACTACACTAATTAGTACATTAATGAACATATAAGGGAAAGAGCATGGAAGTAAGAACACCTGGTTCCACCATTACCTTTGTTATGTGACCTTGGGTAAGTCACTGTTTATGTTTTCTCATTTGTCCAGTGAGAGTGCTGGATTGGACTATTCTGATATCCTCTTCAAATTCTAATATTCTGTGATTCTTACTAAATGAAATTACTACAAGCAACAACAAACAGGTTGGCTATTTTCTTTACATAATGTGCTCAATTATTCACTTATATTATTTTTACATCTCTCTGAAAAAAATGTCTCAGGCTGTTTAGGCGCTTCCACAGAAAGGGTAAAGATGGACAGCTACTGGTGTACTTATGTATGCCCTGGGACCAAGAAATTTTGATTACTATACTTTACATAGAGGTACATGGTCATTCTAAAGTCTCTACATGCATAAGGTGAAAATATACAACGTATATTTTAAGAGGTGTTCAGCCAGTTACAAAAGACAAACACTTTATGACTCTACTTACATAAAGTATTTAGAATGGTCAAATTCATAGACACAAAGTAGAATCGTGGTTGCCAGAGGTTAGGCGGAGGGTGAATGGGGAGTTAATAGTTTCAGTTTTGTAAGATGAAGAGTTCTGGAGATGGATGGTGGTGATGGCTATACAATACAAATGTTCTTAATGCCAGTGAACTGTACGTTTATGCCACATTTTATGAAAGGTGTTAGGACAGGCAATTTTTAATTTTTTTTTAAAACAATTACAAGAAAAATCTACCTCAAAACCCATGAAGTTACAGAAAATAGTATTTAGATAAAAAACATTTTTCAAAACCATTACCTTCTTCTCTACCTTAAAAACAAAATGTTTGAGAATGTAATTATACACCTGACAAGTTGTAATCAATGAAAGTCTTAACTGTTAATGTTATTTGGTGCCTGCATTTTGGGTTAGTAAAAAAATTACTCAAAAATAGCATGTTTATAAATATAAGTTTATTCCTTGTAGGGGAGCTGAGTGGAGAAAGTTCCTTCACCATGCATAAAAGCATAGATCTGAATATCAGTAAACTTGGATTCTAGCAAAGCTTTCTGGGGCCCAGTTACCTCTT